TTTCATCCATTGAAGGCCAAATTTACAAAGATAAGGTTGATCTTCTAGGGGTTTCTTACCCCTGGGCTGTGCTCACAAACCAATTAATTCCTGCTTCACTACAAAAAAAACTGTGACAAAGGCTTAGAAACCTGTTTTACCTGACAGATGGGTCCCTTTTAACAAGATGGGCTTAACAGACTGCTATGGAGGCATTCAGAGCTTTTTTCATCCCCTAATGCTGTTTTGAAATTTCTTACTGACCTTCCTGGTTTGTTGGTTGGTCTTTATGATGCACTTTTTTTTCTAGCACTTCTGTTTCAGAAAACATTTGGATTTCCAATGTGAATAAAAACAAGATGACACTATTTAATATTTAAGAGAGAAACATTTTTTTTTTTAGTTAGTCACCATAAAATAAAAGCACACTTGTAAATTGTACTCTTATCCTGATTTTTATCCTATCCTTAGCCCTTTTAAACTTGCTTTTTTACATAGAGTGGTCATTGTTTGTACTTTTTAATTTGAGCAATGTAAACCAATCTAATTCCTTGTTTTTGTATACACTTGACAGTATTTATTGGTAGAGAGAGTAGAAGTGAATGTCAAACTTGTAAAAACATTTTAAAACAATGAGGCTTTTTTCCTTTCCTTTAAAATTAAAAACTTTATGCTTGAGTATTAAATCTCAACGGAGTATTTTGTTGTTTGTGGTTGTAATGGGATGAAATTAGAATAGGTTCAAGGGGAGTAAATGTTTTTGCAAGGCACTGTAACATTTAGCATTTTAACTGGGAATTTGGGATTTATTCCAAAAAGCAGGTTTACTGAAAACATACAGTTTTCTAAACCTGAAATCAGGGAGACATTTTTTTCCATTTCACAAATAGAGTTTTCTCAGCCTCTGTTTCAATCACAGTTGAAACATTCTCCCCAGAGCTAACCTGGTCGGGAGCAGGTTTTGTTCAGTAAACTTTGTTCAGTGTGTCCTCTGTCTCTGCTCTCCTTAGAGCCAATCACATTGTTTTATTTCCTGATTTAGTCAGAACATCTTTGTCATGGTTTTGTGAACACAATAAAAAAAAATGTTCACTGGGTTAGTTAGACAAATTAGGTTTTAAAAACAAATATTGCTTTTCATTTTGACAAGGATCTTATTAAAGAATGATCTGCATGAATTCACAAAGAACTAAATAAAATATATATATATCACATTCAGAAAATTATACTTATGAGCACTATCGTTTCCCTTGCAACCCATTACATACATCCACAACCTTATCCATCCTCACATTTGCAGAATTACACAGACTTATTTAACAGAACTTGATATCAGTTAGAAAAAATAAAATTGCAAGGCAACCAGCACCAGTCCCATTGAATGGATTCAGGCTGTAGTAGTGAAACCTTGTAGTAGGTTTCCTATGGTTGATAACATGCAGTTTATCATTAATAACTTTGGCTGCCTCTTAACCCCTTAAGTTTGATTTACTCTTTACCTACTTTAGTTTTTGTCTACTTTATTTAAAATGTTCCCATTTAAAACAAACTATGTTTTAAGGTTTTTCTTCTAATGAATTAAATGCTTTAGTTACATGGATTAAATGTGGCATTTAAAAACAACTTAGTTGACAGAATATGAGATTTTTAGTTTTTGGTTTGTGATGTGGATCTTTTTTCCTTTCCTTGCATGAAGAACTACAGAAATTATTTCCAGATTATACATAAATAGATTAACAGCTAGAAAAAAGAAACTATGTTAGGGTTAGACTTGTGATTCATTCATTGATACCAGCCTACTGAGCCTACTGATAGGTAGGAGGCACAATCTGAAGCCATTTCATGGGACTGACGGTCGCTAATAACATCCATTTATGGGAATGCTAACATACAAAACGGCTGCAAACAGACTAGTATTTACTGTGCAATATGATTAGGAACCCAATGATACGATGCACAGGTCCTACCTGGTAGAGCAATGTTTTTATTCTTCATCCTCACCTGCTGACAGACAATATTTATTTAAATAGATACATTGATCAACTCAATTCAAGCATGGCATGCCATTTGATATGCAATGGTTTGACTGGATATGTATTTTACATATCTAAAAAAAATAGTCAAAATGACATTCTTCACTTCTAGAATAAAAATTTTAATGTATAGAAATAAATTTCAGATCTCCATATTCCTATTGTTACTAATCAGCATTTGTATCATTTTGATTATAAGTAAATATATTTCAGATGTCATAAAAACATATTAAGGAACAATACATATTGTGTAAACATTTCTAGATATATAAAACTTAATTCCTATGTCAATGGTTTTGTTAAACATCACAGGAATACAGTCTGTTAAATTAGATGTTTCTTCCTTTTTCCCCACTTTCTAAGAAACATTCCCTCTTGGATAAAGAGCCGAAAGATCCAAACAACACCGACAAATTCCAGAGTAGATGTTCTGGAACAATCTGTCAGGTCTCAGATAGTTAAGCTGACAGTCTGAAGTGATTTATAAAAAGCGTTTATTAATTGCTCGGACTTCTGCATCTCGTCAGCTAGGACTAGATGAATAGAATCTCTGTACAGGTAGAAACACAGGTTAGTGGCCTCGTAACTCTGACGGGGAACGATAGTGAGCATGTGAGTCACTAACCTGGTTATTAAGCTCAGTCCGAGCCCAGAGGAAGGAGTGGAATCCAGCCAGATGATTTTCCACAGCATGCGGCGGAAACCGCCCAGAGAGTTCCAGGGGTTGAAGACAAAGGTGCTGCAGAGCAGACCGAGGAGCAGAAGCCAGCTGACGAGGAAGAGCAGAAGTATTTGGAAGGAAAATCCAAAGTTGGTGTTGATAAGTGAGCAGAAGTCCAGGCCAGAAGATCAGAGATCAGGAGAGGTACCGGAGGGAAATCCAAGCCGGGGTCAAGAGACAGATCCAAGGGCATTAGCAGGCAAAATCCAAAGGAAGTCTGTAGACAGATCAGGCAAACGGATAAGAATAGGGGCAGGCCGGCTCAGAAGTCATGGAGCAGAAACTAGTCAGGGTCAGGCTTTCAGAATAAACACACTGAGGTATGCTAGAGAACGCTCACCGAGTACGGCTCGAATAATCTGGTACTGATGGCTGGGACCAAGCAGTTTAAATAGGAACTGGAACAGGTGGACCTGATGAGGGATAATGAAAACTGGGCGGAGCTAGGCAGTTGGGTGAAATAAACCAATAATCCAGTTAACAGTGCCAAGTAAATGACACAATCAGTATAATCATTATTAATCATCAATTATAGAATGTTGAGCTAGCTCCAAAAGGGTTCTCCCTCTGATGTCAGCTCAAAGAGATGAGTTTTTCCTTTCTATAAATCATAGCGCTGCTGTGGAGCTTCTAAATGTAGGATATTTGTATTTTAAAATAAACCTGTTTGATTCTTAATAAATCTGAACCACATGTCCTACTGCATGATTAACATCAAATCCAATATTGTCATCAAAAATTAAAACATGTTAATATTATAAACTGAAATGTTTTATCCTATATTTGCTTTAAATTAAATGTTTGTTCCACCTTGACAGCAAATTTATTTGCTCTATTTCTTTCCCTGCTTTACTCGTTGAGTGGCAACTGAATTTATAAACATCTATTTAAAAAAGTGGTTTGCATATTTTTTCTTTAGTTGCGTAAAGAAGATAATTTAGTTTACTATTGCACAAAAAAGAATTAAAATTTAGGTCTGTTGCAAATTTGTTGCAACAGGTATAGTAGTCAGTATTAACATCCATCATCAGTGACCAGTCGTATCAGAAAAAAGGGCTTGCTAATGTCCCTTAGGTGTAATAATTGGCATTGCTGAATGCAAATGCTGTTTTTACTCAGAGATTTCAAAAGCATGAATATTTATTACTCAAGTAGAATTAGAGATTCTAGTTAAAATTATTTTTATAGAGGTAGGAGTACCAACTTAAGCTTTTTACTCAAGTAAAAGTGTAAAAGTACCATTTTTAAAACTACTTAAAATATGGAAGTAAAAATAATGCAGAAAAGATGTTAAGGACAGAAGCTTTACTGCACTAGCCTATTAAAGAAAACTTTTTCTACAACTCTGGATGATATAGAATTTTTTTTTTCTTCAGTTTTATAACTAATGGCAACATTGTCCAATTTAACTTTGCATCATCTTGAAAAACGATTTATTTTGGTATGTGGGGAACAATAAGAGTCCAACCACAAAGAAATTAATTATCTGAATGAAACAAATTATTTAGATGTTTTTTTTTTAAATACCAACAGGCCATCTCAAAAATTTGCTGAAATGAAACAAAACTGAGTCTATTTTTAAGATGTAAGGAGTAGAACTAAAAAGTTGTCTAAAAATAATTACTCCCATAAAGTATAGATAGCCAAACTTTATACTCAAGTATTGGTACTTTGTTACTTGATGCCTCTTTTTTTTACTGTTTGCATAATTAAAATGCTTTTTTGATAATTGCTGACAATATGCGTCAATGACTTAAGGTTGTTTCGTCTTTGTTACTATCTGGTTTAATAAAGGAGTAAATCCAGAGTCAAATATACTTATGTTAGAAAGTTTCAGATATCAGAATACAGAATGGAGATTTTGTCCCAGTGGATCTTATGTTCCTAAATGTTCTGTCATTATAACAAAACATTCCCTGTCTGTGCGTCATCCTGATATGTTGTGCAATGAATTGAGAGAATAATGGGTTCTATAACCCAAAATAAAAGGAAGAAGTCACGTTTCAAAGAACACATTTAAAGGTTATAAGTCATAAGAATACATTGCACTTATTAAAGTAACAGGGAATTCAGTGATTCCTGTTAAGTATATCCCCCATGTCTGGTTGTAATATATATATATATATATATATATATATATATATATATATATATATATATATATATATATATATATATATACACATGCGCACACACACACACAAGGTATAATCAGAAAAACAGAGTTACAGACACAAAAATAAAAGAAAGTCAGCTTATTTTAAAACTTTTCACAGTCTAAAATCTTCACATTTATTAACATTTATTTCTGTTTTTATTTACCGTGCAAATGACAAAATCATAAAAATAAATTGTAGGTGTGCAGATATAACAAAATATAGAATTAAAATCAGGTCCCAACTCTAATGCTTTGTAGATCGAACACCTTTTTATAAAGGTGATGCATAAAAACAATTATTATTCTAACATCATTATCACTGATAACGTTACATTTAGTTTTATTAGTATATTATCTTTCAAGAGTAGTTGTTTTAAGATACAGTTTTCTACTCTATTTTACAAACAGATCTTAACTGAAGAGGGCAAACAGGCACGACAACAGCAGATAAAATAAGACAGGTCCTGGGACAGTAGCCGCAGCCGTGGTGAGGACCTTCCTGGAATGAAGAGCCTGCCTGGGCCGGAAGACGTCGTGATATCCTGCGTGTTTCGGGAACATCGCCATCTGATAGAGTTAAAGGTACATTTACATTACATTACATTTTGAACATGTTTTACACTTTGATATAAAATTAATACATTGTAACAAAACAGCATAAACAGACAAAAAGGAGAACAGGCAAGTAGGCATAGAAAAAACATTTGGTTAAAAGAGACATCAGTGATGGTTCAGCCCTAATCAATGGCTTTTTCAAATGTTTCTCATGATGAGAAAAGAATAACAACTCACCCGATGCCTTTGAAACAATATTGTTTCAAATGGATGGCAGTTGTTATGGTAATTATACATTTCTGAATATTCCAGTGAGCATTATCTTGTAGTTGAACAATTCTTACAGGTGCTCCCATCAGAACAGGGATATAGAATTTAAAATAATCAAAACAGGTGGCCAGGAGCTTCTGAATCTCTTGCAGAAGTTTTGTCATAAAAATAATGATGTATGCCACTTCAGCACACTCACTGTAAAACACGGTTGAAATAAAAGCATGCTCTTTAAATTAAGTGTCGTATGGATTGTATTGTCTCATTGCACACATAATGTCTAAAGTTGAAATGTACATGACCCTCAAATTTTATTTAATGGTAAAAGACTGTTTTCCAGAATATCATACTGTCAGATATCAGTAAGCATGAAAAGATAAAAGTTATCAGGACAAGACTGTTGGGATGAAACAATTATGGATTTGTTTGCTAAACATTAAACTCAGCTTGAGAATCTTAGAGTAAATTAAGTTACCAGAATGTCCAGGTCACCAGAGTTAGACAAGTTACTTAAAAAAGTAACTAGTTCTGGTTAATATTTACTTCATAAAATAAATAACTGAGTTAGTAACTAGTTACTAGCAAAAGAAACTAGGCAGTTACTGTTTATGATCTAAAGTTTTTAAGAATCTTTCAAATTTTCCTGTTAATGGAATTTTAAATTATACTAGATGTTAAATTATGGAATATAAAGTGGTTGGTATTAATTAATAAATTCAATAACTAATTTAACAATAATCTGCACTGTTTTGACTTGTGTGGTTTGACAAGTGAGTTGCAATACTATTGTGTAGATGTGATGATGTTCCTTATAATAAAGGTAAATAAGATTTTTGGGAATTTATTTTTTGTCAGCCTTCAGTTGGCTATAAAATAGGTATGAAGGTGAAAAATAATACTTTTCGACCAATTTAACAAAAATAAAATGTATACTTTGGAATATAATTAAACAAAGAAGCCTTACCTTGGTAAGTACTTTTTTCAGTATCTTTACCTAAGTAAAGCAGGTACTTATGGCTTTCACTCACTACATTTTAAAGTCAAATATTGTACTTTCTACACCACTAGATTTCGAGGAAGCTACTAGTTACTTGTTACTTTTGTCTGAGCTTATCTTTGCTGTTTCTGTTTTTCTTTCTGAAAATTGAATTTCAACATGGAGGATAACAGCCTTAGCAGTGAATCTGGACATCACTGTTTTAGAGATTTGCATGACGTTTCACAAATGTGAGAAACTCTTTTTGATTGGTTTTTGAATAAGAAATAATAATCAAAATAACTCCCTATTTATTTTTTGTGGCATTTTTATGCTGAATTTCTTCACAGGTGCTGCAGAATCTGTAGCAAATGGTTCTACGCATAAATCAATCAAGGGGTTTCTAAAAGTTACAAGTTTCTTTAAAATTACTCTGACATTTAAACAGAAATGTACTAATATTACAAAATTCAATTTGTCTTGTGGAAAACTTACAAATTACCATGTATGCTTGAATACTTTTAAATGCATGTACTTTTGAATGCTGAAGTCTTTTCAAAAGTGGTTACTTTAATACTTTAACTTGATTAGATGTTTGACTGAGAAACCTTTACTTGTAGTTAAGTAAGATTTGACCATGAGTATCAATACTTTCACTCAAGTACTACTTTTGAGTACTTCCTCCACTGCTGTTAGTCCCAACGCTGCAGGTAATACATGGTTACCATTGGAAATCTGCAAAGAGCTGAAGACCAGAGTCAATAAAGGAGAACTCAAAACTTTTAAGCATAGTTTCCTCACATAGGAGATATCTTTAAGTTGTCTTTACCAACAAGTATTTAATTATTTTCAGTAATTTAGTCATCACTACATATTACACTACAGGTAGAAATTGGTTTTAAATTATCTAGTTATTACTAACATCTATTGTAAATATCAATAGGTTCATTAGAAATATATATATTCATTGCGTTTAACACTGATTTCCACCTCTGTATTATGTTTTGATAACTGAACTTCTATCCAAACGCATAAATCTTTGAAGATAAAGTCGCTTCATTTGCGGTCTGAATCATCCCTCCCTGAAAGAAAGAAATGAAGATAAGATCAAGCGCGTGTTCATGTGCTGTACCTGGAAAAATCTAACAAAAGAGATATCAACATGCAGAGAGGTTGCCGCCGCGTCATTGCTTATAGATCATACACAAGATTAGATTATTTTCAGCCAGATGGGTTTTGTCCTATTGCTCGGTAACGATAAGATCTCACAGAGACGAACTGATTAAACAGATTACTATAATTTAACTAAAAGCAGAAGGGCCCACCAATTTGGATCTATGCATTCATTTAGGGACAACACGTTAAGAGGAAGATGTTAAGTTCCATTTTGAGGGTCTAAATATTCTGTAAATTTACTTGTGAAAATGTAAAGCAAATCATTAAACTCATGAATTGTCAAAAAGGGTGTTTTTTTAATTTTGCACTCTATGATCTATATCAGTTTTTACCTAATTCGCTAATCCTGCTCTTGACAATGCCTCATATGCGATAGGGCTGCCGCCAGCATCCTTTACTGACGCCGACATTTTGCGGCTGATAAACTGTGCCTTTTGTTTAAATAGCTAAATAGTTAGTCATCACATAAGATTAGCTATGCTACGCTCGCACATTCCATTAAGCCTCACATAAATCAGGCTGTCAGGCGTCACTCAGCATTTTCTTCATGCAGTTCCTCAGGTTTATTTTGCAGAGCCTCTGAGCTTCGTATTTCAAATGCCATGTATGAGTGGATATCTTCAAAAAAGGTTTAAAAGGGATTTACAATAATGCTTTTAACATTATAAGTCATTTGATGGGATATCATTCAAAGTGCACTTATTCAATCCACATGGATTATAGTTTTTTTCAAGTTTTACAAACTTAAGATTTAAAGCTGTCATTGCAGCTTGTTAATGTTAGTGTAAACACTAATGCTTCATTTTATGTTTCTACCAGTGTACACATCAATGAAGCATTTGTTGCTGTTGTTGTTTTTTAACCCAATCCTAGTAGAAAAATAACTCTGTCTCAGTCAGATTTGTTTCCACCTCCCAGAAATGTTCAGGTCTTGCCACAAATTTTTAACAAAATCTATATATATTTTCTGTATTTTGGCTGGGTAATACTAACACATCAATTATCTTACAGCTGAACTATTTCTTACCTCTGACTGTACGGTAACTATGTTATATGTCCAACTGAAGGGAAAACCTCTGTTCCAATGTGAAATCTACTTTAACAGATCTTCTTTCAGTATGTGGCTCCATCCATTAACTCTGATAAGCTTCCCTGTCTCTGTTGTTTATCCATGAACTGCCTGCTGTTTTCCTTGGTCTTCAGCATTCTTTTTGATTACTAATTATGTCTGAAAAACATCTGAGGCCTTCACAGAACAGGTGCATTTCTATAAAGCAGAAATGCATTATGTTTTCCAAAGTCCCTTTTTCGTTTAGAAGGGTAATTTTGTTTCTTTAATACTGAGGACTCTGGAAATGAATTAGGACGGGAATCTGACTTGCAACCTCTGCTGAGGGTTTGTAGGCTGCACTGACTTGGGGTGGCGATCCCTGAGCAGCTGAGGGAAATAGCTGGATCAAAATAGTCAAACTTTTTATCTGTATAAAGAAAATCATGTTTTCCTATTTTTTAAATTCTCAGTTTTGCTCGACGAGGTAAAAAAACATAATTAGAATTTAAAATAATTTTACAAGATGTTTGCACACAATTTAATCCTATTAACCCATTGGTATTAAATGGTGAAAATTGTCGTCTTCTTGTGTTTGCAAAAATTTCCTCCGATGAATAAATGCACATTGAACATCATTGTAATTGCTGCACATACATTAACTCCTTAAAAGAACGATGCATATAATAGATTTAAAGAAGCAATAAGCAAGATATCATTATTTTAGATAAAAAAGTGATTTATGACATAGTTTTGTGAAGAAATAAAGGTATCTTTTCAGATAAACTATTGTCACATTTCACATTCAATCTCTCTGTGTTGTTTTTGAGTCTCTTGTTTACATAGCTGGGCCGGCCACGCGTGCACATACATGCATATGAACAGACAAAATGGAATACGGTGCATCCAGTGGATCAACACGTTCACCTTAAGACAATCAGGAGTCATTATTGCCAAAGAAAAACTGCCGTCTCTGTCAAAGAAGTTTAGGATGGAGAGCACTTGGAGAGTAGAAACAGCTCTAGTTTGACGGGGAGCTAGCTGTTCTCCTCATGGACTGGTGAGAATATCATGATGTCAAATCTTTGTTTTTGTTGCCGTTACGATCCTGTTAGACTTGTGCTGCTATGTTGATTCAATTCGTTGTAATGCTACAATTGTGTTGTGACATGTGGGTTAAATGATAAAGTTTGGCCAGCAATGATCCTCACGTCACTGTTATGTGAAGCAGGCAGCCGGTGACCAAACTAACAAAATGTTTAATCAAGCCAGGTTGGACTGTGAGCTGCACACCGGGATCCTCACATACATTCAGGGTGTTCTTCTTTTGACAATTCTTTTCATATTCTAAAATTGAAACTGATATCTGACGAAAAAGACGAAAGAAGCAATAGATCACAAAATGTATATCAAAACACAATTAAAAAGATATCAATGCAATAAAGGGTTACAGTTGCTTTTTTGCTGCTTCTTTCTGCATGTCTGCTTCTGTCTCCTTGAACCCCAGTTGGTCTTGGCAGATTGCTGCTCACACTGAGTCTGGTTCTGCTGGAGCTTTCTTCCTGTTAAAAGGGAGTTTTTCCTCTCCACTGTCGCTACAAGCATGCTCATTTTGAGGGATTGCCTTCGAGTCAATGACTTAATGCAATCAAATGAATCAATTTGACTGTATAATCTGGTTGAATTGTAAAGTGCCTTGAGATGACATGTTGTGAATTGGGGCTATGTGATGTCAGTCTGAATTTCACAGGAGGAATCAATCTTCTTCTTCTACTTATTATTATTATTAGTCCATAACATGAAAATGCCTCTTTTGTCATTTCGTTAAGCTAAATTGTGTTTATTGCTAATTTAAAGTGAATGGCTTGGTTTAAATAAAATAGGGCAGCTGGTACTTTAATTGTTAACTTTACAGATGGCTGTGGATCAAAACATCGATTAAGAGATATATCTTTCAACTAGTTAATGAAGTATAATGATGATTTATGTATTTTCCAACATATTGTCAAAACACAAAAAAATGTAATCAAGTGCCTAAAAAAGATCCACACATATTTAACCCTACATAGCACCCATGCTCAGATATTTAAAATGAGGTGGATAAACGGAGGCTAATAACTCTCTAAAAATTAGGGTTTAGCCCAGACATTTATCGGCAATATGTCAGAGGTCAAATTTTTATAAAAATATCTTTAAATGAGTAAGATTGGTGTTGACTACTAAAACCTTGTATCTATATTTGTGTTTGAGGTGCCAAATGCTAATGAGTGAAACATACCAGTTCATGATCCACTTTAATTGATTCTTTAAAGACAGTCCAAACCACTGCTTCGTTGCACAAAGGCGTGGTGAGGGAGCCACTGTAGCGAAAATATGATTCACGGTTTACGTGGCCAAGCAAGTCATCGATAGAGATCTCATTTGTGACCTCAACTTCTGAACCTGTGTTAAAGTAAAACATGCAGAAGATGGGTGGATAAATGCTCATACTGTGGTTCTTTTGTTCCTGTGTCATAACAAGGAAGACGCTCACTCACTGATGTTCTTGATAGCTGACAGGTAATCGGTCAGCGTTTTCCAGGCTTTCATGTCATGCTCTGAACCTGTGTCGGGCTCCTCCTACACATAAAGATGTGCAGAATAATTATTCAAGGTTTTATGCATTGTGATTCTCATACATGAGGATTTTTAATATAGAAAAAATACAACTAAAGACTCACTGCGCCAGGTGGAGGTGAGTGGGAGTCACTTTTGCCAGAGTTTGTGGGCTGAAAATGGAAATAAAAACAACTAAATTTCTAGCATGAAGCAGAAAAAAAAATTCTTCACTTTTTTTTAAAATAAAACATTCTTGTGTTTTGTGAGCTAGCTTTGAAAAAACTGTATCCATTTTATCCCTATTAAAAAAATGTAAAAGAAAAGAATTGACTTGGCCTTAATAATGACTTTCCTAAAATGGTCTTCTTATTTTTCTTAATGGATTTTAATTTAAATCTTGATTTAAAACTATTTAAAATGAATCTTAATTTAGAATAAAGATGCAGTTTCCTCTTCCCGTAACTGCAATCTTTATCTGCAAACTCTGCCAAAGGCATGAAACATACTGGAAATCAGATAACAAAAGAGAATGCTACGTGCTGTATACAAGGCAGGTACGGTGTTGTCCCACTATTTTGTGCACAAGCTGTCACCCTAATGAGTAAAAATGTCTTAAAATATGTATATTTTCCATTAATTTGAATAGAAAATAAGAAGAATTGCCAATGGAATTAGCCTTTTATACCTAAAATAAGATAATTAGATATTATGCACGTCAAATAAGTAAATTGGCTTATTCAATTGTCTCACTTACCTGCTCAATTCAAGAAAAATGCACTTATGTTAAGAGAAACTGACAAATTTATATTTTTTGCAGTGTAGGCCTTCAAATTGACATTTCTGTCAGGTCAGTATTGGTACATTTCTTCTTTACAACTAGCAACCAAAAATAAAGCTCAATCTAAATGTCCAATGTGATAAGCCCTAATAAGCTATAGAAAACGCAACTAGAGCTCCTTTACCTGTTCAAATAGGCCTTACATGTCACAGTTATTGTGTTGACGTTACCTCAATAAAGAAACCCAGCACTGCCAGGCCATCAGCAGTCCCTACTGCCTCTTCCAGTGTTAAATCCTTCCTCTTGTTTACTATGTGCATCTGGATGAAATAAGCCATTCATTACATAAAACGTTCATATAATAGATTCTGGTTTGATTGTAGAACATCATGGCCTACACCTTACCTCCATTGGGTATCTTTTTGAATCCACAGTGTGCTCTGAGCCCTTAGAATCGGCTGATTCTGTGCCCCAGTGAAAGTGGAACTGAAGAGTTGAGTAGACATGTTCCAACCCCCCTCCTGACACTTCCACTGCACCATCCTTTAGTATGCACTTCACTGAAAGATTAAAAGAACATCTAATGCAGTAACTTAAAGGTTTGCAAGATTTTAATGTTAATTTCTATAAATTTTTCCTAATGTTATCATCAGCACATAACTAATCTTATAATAACTAATCCAAGCTCTAAATCTAGCAAATCTAGAGAAGTTGAATTTGTAGGCTAATGTGTAGGGCAGTCTGCGAGGGGTTATAACCGAAGCTGACCTCTACCATCTGATAAAAGTTGTGAATATGCAAACACTATTTTACAAATCTATTTTTGTTATAAATGAGGGGTCATTTACAAAGAAGCTGATAATGCTATCAGCAGGGACTAAAGCTGAATCCCAATCCACCCTCTAAGGACTAACCCTTAACTATCAAGTGTCACTCCCAATGAAGTCATGCTGGCAGCTGTGGAAAGCGCCTAGATTGAAGATGGTAAGGGTATAAACAAGAACGGGAAGGCTTCTTCCCTGGAATGGAAAAAGGAAAGCAGGCGTTGCTATGAAAACATAGAGGCACCCCATGTGCGTAACTGTAGCTCTGTCGTGCAGAGTGACATTTATACCAAACATTCTCCACTTTCTAAAAAACAAATGTATATGGTTAAATAAAACTATTTCAAAGAGGAGATTCCATTTTGGAATTAGTAACTTTTTTTTCATATACTAACTTGTAATTGTTTTCTGTCAGTGTGACAAACATGCAGCAAACCAGCGTAATTTACATTTGGGGGAACGTGTTTCCTCCGCCAATCCAATCCAATCCAATCCACTTTATTTATATAGCACGGTTTAAATAAACACGAGGTTTCCAAAGTGCTGCACAAAAAGATAAAATAACTAAAATAAATAAAAGTAATAAAATAAAATAAAAGCACTGCCCGCACAGGATAAAAATATGCATGTGTATGCATAAAATCAACATGTGTACATAAAATCAACACGTGTACATAAAATCAACATGTGTACATAAAATCAACATGTGTACATAAAATCAACACTCTACATGGTGTAGATCAGCCCTCTGTTACACCTGTTGCTGAATTCCAGCAAGCCTGCAACTGTGGCAGACTCGCTATTTAAGGGCGAATGGTCCACTGGCCCTACCCAGTACGGGGTTTGGGAAGGCAGTTAATAAGGTGGACCCTCCGCTGGAACACGTAAATGGAGGGTTAGTGATTAGGGGCCGGTTTGGGATTGGGTCTAAGGGTAAGAGGCAGTGCACCACTAATACTCTTCCTGTGTGAAACTAGATTTGAAAAGGAAAAAATGTAAAGCTGTTCTGATTAGAAACCCTGAAAGTTAAAATCTGAAGTGTTTTATTCAATCTTAATTTTACTTTCATTATTTTTTTTAACACTTTAATTTTCGGACAGACAGTTAATCTGTTCAGTAGACCACCACATCACACAGGAATATCTTTTGTGGTGAAATGCCTCCTACTTTTATTTTACATGTATGTAACTATAATCTTCCAGGTGAACAATCACCCATTACAATTGTTTATAGATTTATAAAGTAGTGTTTATATAAATACCTTTGATATTTTTTAGACTGGATTTATTTTAAGAATGTAGGAGTCTGTTTTGTTTTTTCCTCTCTTGAACTAGCATGTAGCTTCAGCCAAGGGTCCAACTACTTTGGATTTTTATAAAACATCAACACTTCAGTAGTGATATACTCAATATTAATCACTTTTAAAACACACTTTATAAAAACCTAAACTATCTAATTTACTTATATTATTATCTACATCTGCAATAAACACAAACAAAGAAGGTCCAAACCTGTGTGGCCTGTATTGGTGATAGACTTTATTGCCTGTTTGTCATCAAAATGAGTAAAATCAAAGGAACCGAGGCTCTCGTCCTCAGTAACGCTGGAAGTTTCAATGTCAATGGGGGACTGGCTTTCACCATCACAGTGGGACCCAGGCAGCGCAGACCAATGAGCTGGGGTGTGATCTGCAGTTAGAACATTTCAAAAGAATCAAAATGTCTGTCTGCAAAGGATAACAGTTTAAGAATACGTCTGAAGTAGCTGCTACATACCACAGTGGTCATCATAGCACCACTTATGACCTAAAGATGAAAAGAACACATATTTAATGTGCAAATTGAGCTTAAACTATTATAAAACAAATACAAAAACTGCTTGGTAAGCTTCACGTTATGACACCATTTTCTGAGCATAAGGAGTCAATCTTTTTAAACATTTTATCTTTTTGGAAAATATGTCTTTAACCCAATAAAATTAGATGTTGATCTACTAAAGCATTTAAAAACAGTCATCATTCAATATTATTTAAAGTTTGATGAGAGTATTGATACCTTTTACAATTTCCATGCACTGCAAGAGCCAATTATAAATATCTATTAATGTGTGTTGTTGAAGCTATTGGTAACAACAAGGCCTAGAAGTCTTTAGAAACACTGTGATAGCCAATATCAAGGCTCTAAGCAAACCACTTTTTATCAAAAGGTTGAAACACTTCCCTGTAACTAATGTTTGTTTTGTTGTGTAACAATCTGGTACACAGCCCCCAATGAGAGCAAAACTGTGGAAGCATTTAAAATGTTTTTACCCTTAACTTGAAAAGTAACCAAAACTACAACAGTTTTCTTCATGTATGGTCAGCAAAGGATTTATGGAAGCAGACTTTTACAGGTTCTTTACTTCTGCTTTACTAAGAATTCAGACGTACAGCTGACTACGCTGTACGTTCACATGAAGAGGAAGTTGCCGTTCTGCTTATCTCATTTCTCCCCTGCAACAGTCAAACTGGTAAGAAGGTAAGGACATTTTTTAATTAAGCTTTTCTTTGGAAGAACAATATTGGCGGCTGCTGCCTTTTCAGCTTAGCTTTAACGAGTGGTTGCAGCCTTTCACGATTCTTTCTTTTTGCTCCCTTATTTTTCTTGATTTCTATATTTTAGCATAACACCTTTAAAACAAGATACCTGTTCTTAGTGGAACAATTGAACAAAGTGTATGTTTGATTGAGGCCTCTGATTTCATCTTTAGATTTTTAGCCACATCTGTTTATTAAAGGGTCACACACATATTGAAAAATCTCCTTCCACGTAATGTTGCATAATGTAATACTGCCACTAATAATTTCCTTTACATGCTGGCGATGTGTTTATTTCCCAACACTATACCAAATACGAATGATTTTTTATTTATTTTTTTATGTGTTGCAATGTTCGATAATTAAAGAACATACTTGTGACTGTAACCTTCTCACCTTACATGTAAGTCAGCTGACTCACCTTCAGGAAGAGGCGTTCCAGGGGAGGCAGTGATATGTCGATGATGATGAGGTTGTACAGGTCGGTAGTTATTTGTGAGGCTTGTCTTTTTGGGAAAAAGGTTAAGCTGAAAAAACAAGTTTACTTCGTCATAGTTTCGGTAGTGATTTATGGTAGCAAATATCAGTCTTTAAACCCTTGCAAGGAGGTTATGTCAGCCTTTATTTACAGTAGAGCTTTTAGAAACCCATCAGAACTACAAACTCCACAGCTCTTTAAACTATTGCATTTGCTTGATGCTGCTTTTCAGAATTTAGTGTTGTGTTGGTTTGTCTTTATTACTGACAATTCAAACTCAGGCCATTGGGCTCTCCAGTTTTTACAAATACCTTTATCAAACCTTTAATGAAATACACTATTATAATTTCCATCTAAAATAAATTGCAGCATTTTTTTCTTACAGTGAGCTATGGAAACTTTTTTTTTGACCTCCCTTACCTTTTATTTCACTGTAGGTGGTGGCAAAATAAACATTGCTCCTCGTGTCACTTAGCTTCTCAAAATACCGACTGTATATAAGGGCTTTCTAAGTAGTTTTTATGTTTTTTTTTTGCACTTACTTAAGCCAATGGACACAAGTGTACTTATAAGGCATATTACTTAGAGCCGGGTTATATCTCCATCACATAAATGTAGCCACTGAGATAAAGTTTATTTTCAGTTTTAAAAAAGTTTATCAAAAGATGAATTGATAAGGGCAAACAATGGGAAGTTGTTGTTTAAAAGCTATAATGATGCTATGCTTTATTCTGAATAAAAATATACATGTATATTTGATCTTAGAAAATAAAGAAATAATATAAAAAAGAGTTCAATAGCACCACATTAATCAGCAAGATTTTAACAGCTGTGGCCACGCACCTGCGGCACAATGAAACTATCAAGCAAATACCAGAGGCTGAAACGTGAGCAGCTCATCAAGTGAGTTGGATGTCAAGTGGATTAGATTAAAAAGTTTATCATATTGCAACATTCAGATACTTCTATATTTGTTTTGAGTTTCTCTTTTCGATTCACATGTGGAGTGCACAATGTGTTTATATGTTTATACAGCCAACAAAAAAAAAAAAAAAAAAATGCAGCCTGTTTGTTAAACAGAACAATTAAAGCAGACGCTGGTAGACACCAGGATGTCTGCCAGGGCCTACCAGGTATGTGCTTAAATGCATCAGTAGCTGCTTATATAAAAGATGTTGTCACTAGAGGTCAGATACAGGTTCAGCTGCTTGGAATGACTTGGATCCGGATCAATTGATAGATATGAATCCATCCTGCTAAGATAAGACCCGTCCAGCATGTTGTCTCCAAACTTACACAAGTGCAGGTTCATATAGAATGTGCCCTCTGTGTTGGCTGAGAAGGGGACTTACCAGATCTTTGTGGACTAAGATCGGCTCATGAAAAACCGTCCACACAACAATCTCACTGCAGTTTGGTGTAGTCAAAGATCCATTGTATCGATAGTACTTTGAACGGTCCACATCCCCGATTAGATCATCGATAGAGATTGTGTGGTTTAGTTTCACTGTAGAGCCCTCTTTTGTAAAATTTAAAGGAAATCAGATGATTATCTCATGTTAATGAGAGTTTAAACACGTAGAATGTCAGATAAATATCCTAATCTAAATAGACACATCTGGGCACAAAGTGGAACAGTGCAACAAAGGAATCATCCTTACGTTTAATGTTTTCCAAGTAGGATGTAAGCATTTGCCATGGCTCAGATATGGCTTTGTCTTCATTTTCCTGAAATAGATCAATTAGTGTAAGATTTATAGATTGAAATGTTTTTCTTAGCCTCTCTCTAGAGTAAAAAAAAGTGTAAATACTAAATTTATATTTCTTTCTGTGCATATTTAAAAAGCTGTGTTTTTACATGATGAACTTGAAGCGAGTGTATGTCATATTGACTCAGGGCTGACTTTGGGAAGTGTGTATCTGTATGCAGTGCAGAATAAGGACCTAGGCATGCAGACTTTTAGCCTGGCACCATGATTCGATTCCTCCTGTGCCATAAGTCCCATTCTGAAATATTTTTTCTCCCACAGTTAACCGTTAGTAGTTTTACAACAAAGAGCTACAGTATGTACGCAGAATGTTGCAGGTCAATAAATTCCTAGTGTCATATAACGCATTGGTTAGCACTTTTCTACAGAGTAAGTAGCTAAACTTTGATAATAGTGTGAAGAGAGCTTTATGTAATCAGTTCTCATGGCCTAGCATATCCTGGATCTCTGTGCAATGCCGAGTGCCTCCCAACATCTTAAGCAAATGGGCAAATTCTAACTCTTGCTGACTTTAATTGACATCAGATAGACCTGAAACCCACAGATTGTCTTTTGAAAATTTGTGTTGTAGTCAAGGTCATACCAACCAAGAACAAGGAGTACCGAGATAAGGCTGGGACCCTCCCAGGCCAAGAACAAGGAAAGACCAACCCTGTAAAGGACACGACAATGTCTTGGTCTCGGTACTCCTTCGATTTGGTTAGTGTGGTCTTCAATACAACACTATTTATAATACAAATTATTAAGACAAATTTTCTCAAATACAGCAGAAATATCACAGAACTATGTATGCCATTGGTTTCAAAGGAGTCAAATCATCAGATGTGCCAGCATAAATTTTATATTTCATGCCTATATAAATATTTCTGTTGTTAGATTAGGAGCTTTCAAATTTGTGATTATAGATTGCTGGAGAAAGTTTGTCACATACCTCTATAAAAAAACCAAGAACAGCAAGTCCATCTGGATGATTATTTATCTCTTGTTTCGTCATATTTTTTTTTGCAGTGACGATGTGCATCTACGGATGAAAACAGTGCAAATGCAATGATGGAATGAAAGAAAGCAACAACAACAAAAAAATAAACAGAACAATACTGAAAATTTTGCAGAACCTTACCTCCATTTTGAATCTATGGTCATCTACTGTGTGCTCTGAACCTCCATCAGTTTCTGTACCCCAGTGGAAGTGAAACTGGAGCACCGAATATTGACCATCAAGTCCACCTCCACTCACTTCTGGTGTGTTCTCTACCATGTTGCATTGCACTAAGACAAAGAGTGAGGAAAAATGTATATAGTATTTATATAATTTATATAATATATAATTGTTGTTTGAATAATTTTGAGACTTTTATATTTTAGTATTGCGAGGAGTACCTGAGTGTCCATTATATGTGATATTCTCGATGGCGTACTTATAGGAGAAATTGACGAAGGTGAAATTGTTCAGGTTTTGGTCAATGGTAACCTTGCTTGTGACAATATCGATAGGAGATTGGCGAGGATTTTCAACCTTACATTCAGATCCTTTTAAATCTTTCCATTTGGAAGGTGAGTGATCTGTGGAAGACAGTGATACATTTAGTGCTGCAAAAGAACACAGAAGTATGTATCACTATGTATATTTACAAAAAAAAGCAGAAACCATTGTTTACTTACCACAACCAGTATAGCACCATTCACTGGCTAAAGCAGGAACATAGAAGACATAAATATCAATATCTGTGTTGAACTGAATTATATACATTACTCTTTATTAATAACTAAAACTAAACTCCACATGTAACGGAAGTGCTCCCGCGTCTGCTCAATCATCATACAATTTATATGAAGTTAAAGAAAGACAAGAACACAAACGGATGTAATATTCCTAAGAAATATTTCCAAAAATACTTACGTTTTACTAGAGCCACCAAAGTCAGACATAGCATCAACCTGAGAAGATACATCTTCAAGGGGAGAATAATATTTTGATGAGAAATAATTAGCAAACGTGTGATTTAGAGGCAAGCATGTTTTATCCATCTCCTCTCAGTTTTAACCAAAATGCACCAAACATTTTATCCTATTTTTTTTGGGGGGGGGGGGTTCTCACATTTTTTAGATCCTGAAGTATTTCACTAACCTTAGTTTGAAGATCCTAACACAACAAGGTGTCTTCAAAGTGAATAAAAGGAATATGTCAGCTCAAAAACTAGCATCCATTAGAAAAGGGTCTTTTATCAACAAAAAAGAAAGGGTGAAAACTGCTCTAAAAAAGGTCATGATAAATATATGGACAGTGCTCGTCTAGGAGGGGCCTACCTTGTGTACAAAACACTGAACCCTGATGCAGGAAACACGAACAACTGTTTTCTAAATAGATCTATTTAGAACAAAAATTATCTGTTCTAATTTGCATTCATATTTCAACTACAGAACAGTCCTGAGGTCAAGATGGGTTTTTGTTATTTCTCCACAGAACTGAACCCCAAATAAAAAATGGTGTTTCAGCCCCTTTATAAAAAACAGATTATACCTTGTGGTCATAAATGGATCATCACGGTCATCTCTAGAACTTTGGCAGGATGTGGTATAAGTATAACATTCAGATGGTAGTAAGGAAAACCTGCCATCTTAATATCAGAACACATTTGAGACTCTTCATACCAGTTTTATTTTTTTTTATAACTGACACAATACAGATGATCCTGTATAATTCTTTTCTCCCAGTTTCGTCGTTTGATATAACAAAAAGACCACCAGGGGTCTTCTTCTGCCATTGACCATCTGTTTTAAGGTTTAACGATTGTATCAAACTTAATTTTTTTATTAGTTGTTATATAGGCTACATTTGTGGTTCCATAATCCTTAATCTTTCTGTTCATCTCCATCTGACACAATCCACATTTTTCTCCATTTAAGTCGAAGGAAGATTAATTTCCACACTACTCAGAGCTCATGGTCTTGCACTAACCATCTTATAAGGTTAAAGCATTCGCTCACATCCCTTTCTTCTCGATGTTTCTCTCTGTTTAAACCTTAGGTAAGTGTCAAGTCAAGACAAGGGCATACTGCAGTGTGCCGTCTGGTCTGCAGAGAAAGTGTTTGGCTGCAATCTTCCATCTCTCCAGGATCTGTATGCCTCCAGGACTCTGAGGCTTGCAGGGAAGATTTTGGCTGATCCCTCGCATCCCAGCCACAAAGTCAATTGTATATAGTTTATTAAATGTTTTACATTGTATATAGCTATAGATTCTGTATTCTGTATATATATCTATTTTGTCTGCACCATCAATACCAAGTCAAATTTCTTTTAAGTAAAAAACCTACACGGTAATAAACTTGGTTCTGATTCTGATATTTTGAGACAGGAAATTGCCCACATATGTTTGCCGACATGGGGATCTGAAGCCAGATTGTATCATAATTTCTCTGACTTTTCATTTAACTTTATTTTAAACTTTAATCATAGATTAACTGTCTAATCTGAAACTTACATGAGATATATGCTGTCCTATCACCCAAAGTAAAAAAAAAAAAAAATAAAGATTAACAAGCTTAAATTCAAATTGAAAATTTGCACAACATTTAAATGTTTCCTCACCATCACATTTCTCTCCAAGTTGAGCATTGGGGTGAATTAAATCACAGATAAATATATGAATGTAACAAGGTGTGAGGAATTCCTACGGATTGCTGTAAATATTTGGATAATCTTGAACCACCTTGGTAATGGTGCCGGTGGATTGTTTGTCTGTAGAAACGACTTTGTAAAATGGACAATTAGGAAGGAACACATTTTCAGGGATTATCGCTTCTTGATGCTGGATGATGACTGGTTTATTAGCTGATCAGACTACAGGTGGTAAACATAACGAGGTTCACAAAATTCCTTTTGGCATTAATAGGCCTCTGGCATAAGCCTAAACGTGTTTGACTATTGCCTTGGTAGAACTGAGAGAAGACATTTAACCCTGGCACAGACTCACTCCTGAATTAATTTTAGAAATAAAAGGCCAGTCTAAAAGCTTAATGTTTGCCTACTTTATTTTTCATTCCTGGCTCAGTTAAAATGTATTTTAATAGCGTTTATTAAGTGCTGCTGACAGATACACACCATCATGCTTGTTAATCTGTAAATTGTTGATCGAGGCTAAACTGACAGCATACCAGAGGAATAAGTGTTTGATAACTCCTTTCTAGTTACCCTGGGGAAAATTTCTTTTTTTACATAAGACACATGTGACACAAATACCTTAGCTTCGGTCAAAGGACAACACCCTGTTAATTATCTGAAACAATATATATCCTGCACACGGAGGGCGGTCATGTTAAGCTTTTAATTTACACGTAGGTTTGCAAACTGATACTGCAGAAAATAACACAAACCATTGAAAAAGTGTTTGCTGCAGAATGCAGTGAATAAGACAAAGTGCTCTGTGTGACATTTATACACAGTATAAAGAAATCTCTTTAAAAGGAATTAGGGGCATTAGTTTACATAACTGTTCCTTTTAAATTAAAGGAAAACCCCTCATTGCAATTATAAAACAAAAACTAACATGCTCACACTTTCTATAGTATATCTATGAAAGAGAAATGTAGTAAACTCACTGCTTCCTTTGACAGGGGCTCATTTGTTCGACTTAATGAAACTTTGTATTCTGCATTTATTAAACACGTTGCATTAGACGTTAATAATTGAGCTGAAGAGATGCTTGCAGGCAGTTCCGGCTTCTATTTTTATTATGCTGAGACATTATCTACCCTAATATATAATAGAAATCCCTTTAATGTACTTTTAAACCTGTATTGTCTAGATTTCCCTTGCTGTTTACCAGATAAAGATGAAAATAATGAGGTGTGGTAAGGGCAGTTTTCTACCAACTTCTGTTTAATGTAAGTTTTCCCATGTTTGTACCCTCATCATTGTGCTTAATAAACCGGTTTTTTGACCTTCCCCCAGTGTCCTCACTCATGCTTAGCCACACCTCATTAGTCCTCTTTGTGTTCATCCTTTGACGGAACAGCAATCATAGGGGATAAAGTTAAACAACTTAAATCATTTAGTTGCAGGGAAATGAGGGAGGGGATGTTCCTAATGATCCAGCATTAACGCTGAAAGTTATCTCGGCTATTGATATGGAGAGTACCATATTTTTACTCTATAATTATCATTAAAATACACATTTCTTTCCTTACAGACTCTTTCTTCCAAGACAAGGACAAACACATTTTTTTCCCGTTTCACTGGCTTGTCTCTGATGACCAAAGAGGAACCTTTGTTTTTCCTTTGCACAAGCCCCGCACAGACCTGCACCCGTGTTTTGGTTGAGTTTACTTCCTGTAAAGATGCCCAAACCAACCCCCCCACCCCCACCTCCCCAATATCTGAAATATTTGTCTAACTCTATCTAAATAATTTAAACAGATGTCCCATTATTTGAGGAATTATTAATAAAAAACAGGTCAAAGAAAATGTTTTGTGTGATTGATTTGTATGTTTTATAACTTTGTCTCCGACTTTGTCAAGCTAGTCAATCATGTGTTTAAATGTGAAAGAGCTCAGCGTGAAAAAGCACCAGCAGTCCTACAAGATCAGAGAAAACATAGAAATTATGTTAACAAAAAAAAAAAAACAATGAAATTCAAGTAGTTTATTTTGAGTAGTTAGTCACAAATCAGAAATTTATTATACTGAAAAGCTAAATTTAGATGTGAAGCCTTTAGGTATTTTTACATAGTAACCAGAGGCAGTTTTTCATTTCTGGAAATCACAGGAACCACTCCTCCTGCACCACCTCCTGTCCCACTTAATACTCAGAAACACACACCAACTAGTCAAAATTTCGTAGCACAGGAACTATCACATTTAAAATAAGATAATTGGCTGTGTTAAAAAAGCATTCAGTTTTACGTTTTAAGTTTTGCAGCAGGTCTTAACTTGCCTGGAGAAAAAAATCAAGTCCAACAATCTAAGAACGAAGAAAAATTTGGTTAAAAAAAATGGTTCAGGCTAAGAATTTAGAAAATGGGATCTTAAGACCAGTCTTCATCGTCGAAAAAATGAAATAAAACAATTTAAAGCAAAAATGAGACACACAAGCCGATCTCTAAAGTGTTTATTTTTCTTGTCATACGTAGTTAGATCTTGAATAATCATGTCAGTTTAAACCACATGTACTAGGGTCTTTATTAAAATACAGTATATATCAAAACATAGTATTAACTGTTTAGTCCAACATTCTCTGTAATACAATAAATAAACTGGCTCCACATATGACAGAAAAGTAAACTCAGAATTGTATTGCTCAGACATCTACAAACGTCTTTCTTACAAATATCCAAATAAAATACAATTTTTCCATAATTTCAGTAGGTCTTATTTAGAGAGGCTTAATTGTTTAATATTTTCTATTTAAAAGAAATTGGTTTTTCATATTCACTGCATTCACAACTGTTTTTCATCTGAACTTACAACAATAAGATCAGTTATCTTAAACCGGGCATACACTGTGTGTTTTTTTCCAATTGTTGCACACAGGTACAGCTCACACTGTATGACGAAATCACAGGGTTTTGTTGTACAGTGTGAGTTCACAGCTCACGGTGCATGTTCTCACTGTGCAGCTCGCCGCTCTGATGGGATCTACTTGCTCACACTGTATGCCTAAAGCTCCGCAGTGAGATGGCGCTACTTGGACTCATCTATCCAGAAGCCAAACGAGTAGAAGAGCAATATGATGCTCACTAGTGCGAAACGTGCTGCCTTGGCAGCTTGTGCAGTTTTGTGTGCTGAAAGCCCTAAAAAGAAAAGGGTATTTGGACAAAGACATGGCTGAGCAAACGTGGCTACTACGGTCTGTCAATTTTACAGAAAGAACTCCATTTGTTTTTAACTAAGAGTAAGAAGAAAAAGAATCCTTGTTTGCGCATGATTCCCCCGACCTCACGATTCCTGATTAGGAGGTCGTCGTGAGAGGCTAATTGTCCCTCATTACTCCCTGTACACTACATGAAGCATGATGCAAGGTCAGGCTGAAAGTCGGCCCCATCGAAAAATTCTCACACAACTGGAAAGTCGGCCCGAAAAGGGCAAAAAAATCGTACAGTATATGCCCGGCTTTACATGCAGAAGTCTGGAATTTCGCCCTCCTACAGATTTCAGTTTTATCATGTCATGGTTAACATTTTCTGATCATCAAGCACATTTTAATATCGGACAATTGCTTAAAAAAACTGTTTAGTTAATGGAAAAAGCTTTTCAAACCTACATGGCTGTGTGAGACAAAAAAATCGCCCCCTAATCCAAAGATTTGGTTAACACTCTGGGCAAGAGCCATCTTTAACATTAGGGGACTTAAAAATGGGACCTGACTGTTACGAGGGAAAAATGTGGATTTTCACAGTTAATCCATAATGAAACAAGACAGTGAGGTTACATTTTCAACTTTGCTTTAAAGTTGTAGACACTGAAGCGGCTGTCTGCAATTTATATTTTCCTGTTATTTATAATTTTCTCCAACATGAAATGAGTTCTCTTTTTTTTCCTTTTTTTTTTTTTTTACAGTAAACCTCATAAAAATACAATGAACCTCATAAGCCATCCCCCCAGCTATAACTTCAAGTCTAGGCTGTAAAATTAAATAGCATTAAATTGTATAATAACATTAAAGCTTTATTAGAATATAAACAGTGACTGAAGACAAGATCCTGTTGTATGTCATGTTTTTGCTTTGATGCTAAAGTTATTCTGCTCAGAGTAGAGAAGAAACAGACCTGTATAACAAAAAAACAACAACACAATTTAAGGCATTAAAATCAGATATCTATGAATATAATGTGAGTTTACATTGCAAGACGGCATTACACTTACTTAAAGATGGATCCAGTTAGTTCATCAACGAAACCGCCTAGGAAGTATGGAACAAAGTAACATTTTGAATACAAATTTTAAAATGAGCAGTTAAAAGTATGTTTTATGATCATTTACCTGGTGTGCAAACTGTATCACACAGAATGGGGCAAATGTAGCAGGATGAGCAGTCCTGGAATATTAACAAAAGGTTCACATGAAAGGAAAGCTGTAAAACAGAAATCTACCACAGAGTCTTTAAAGTGATTGCAGCTTACCTCACAATGCTCACAGTGAGCAGACTCATCTCCCTCTGCACATGGACACTTGTCACACTGTTCGTTACAATGCTGAAAGAAACAGATGGGTAAACGTAGAAAATAAGCAGAGATTTATCGGTCACCAGAAGGAGTCTAACAGTGAAAGTCAGCATTTACAAAAGCTTTATAATCTGTCTAATTCCTATGATTCCCCTTATATAAAACAAGACCCATGGTTCTAAGACCATAACCACAGGTTGTACTTGGGCACTAAAATCAGAAGAGATTTTAGAGTTAAGTATTTACAAGATAAATGTGGACAAATAAAATACCATAAAACATGAAGTTGTTTCTTGATAAAACCATAGTAATGGTGGGTCTATTTAGTTTATACACTGACTAGATCAGGGGTCACCAACGTGGTGGGCACCAAGGGGCCCTCAGGGGCACCATGGGGTGCCCACAGCATCTTCTGAAAACAGCACAACTCACAAATGGGATAAGATTGAAATTTTATTTTGTGCTGTTGCCCTCCATTTCTAATGCTTTATATAGATTTTCCTCTTTGTAATCATGCAGAGCATTTAAGTATTTATAGAGACATGACAATATCATGAAAGAAAATTAGGAGTTAAAAGAAACAATAAAAATATGATTATTATTTATGAAGTAAAGGTGAAAGCTGATCCCTCCAGTTCATAGGTCAGCATTGGTAGCCCTTCCTATGACTCAGTGCCCTTGAAGTAGCTATTTACCTTAAAAAGGTTTGTGACCCATGGTCTAGATTACAATTAGTGAGTTATTTTAACAAATGACATTTGTTATTGCCACACTTAATTTGTCATAGTTTGCTGTGGCAGATCCAACTGTATCTTAGGTTGTACGTAACATTTTAGACAACTTTCTGCATTTCAGCTTTTTTCTGGGAAAACAAAAAAAACTTGCCATCGTTTCAGAGTTTCGAACTTTAACCATGCATTTCCGTATTTTAATTCTTAGTTATTATTGTTAAGGTCAGCAGTTGCAGGTCAAAATGTGCGAATGATGTGACAGCATCGAATCAGTTTAATCTAAATTCATATTAAATCAAAAAGAGCATCTTATGAATAATTTGGATAGAGGTCATTGAAACTTTTTAGTTGTTTGATGCCAAAAAGGCAAAATGACCAAAACAATGTGTTTTTGGGTTTTGGTATGTGCGTATTTTCAGCCGTATATGAAAAGGATTCAATGTAATGACAGATTTGTAACTTCAGCTCTCTTTCTGCTGTAGTCACTTTAAAGTTTCTCTATATAACTTTAAAAATAATGGTCTAGCAGCCAAATTATTTTTGTTTTTCCTCAGGCATGTTTTACGTAACCTAAAACTCATAGCAGTGTCTGTTTTGTCATAAAGGAGGAGGAAGTAACGCTGTATTAAATCCATTTATAAATAGGATTTTCATCTTATTCTTTAAGGTATATATAAACTGTCTTTTCATGGAGATTACATTTTCTAAATCTGGAAAATGAAAAGGGGCTTAAAGGATCTATAGTAGAACTATTATTCATTGTGTCCTTGAATTGTGGGTTTGTGAAGAACCCATGACTAAAGTCCAATGCAGTCACTGAGTCACTTTGTCCAAACATCCTCAAGCTTAACACAGAAAAGAGAGGAGTCTTTGTTTCTGTCACAAAACTACAAGGAAAAGGTTGTTTTATGAACTCAGACCTGGACTTACTGGACATCCAATCTATAACACAACGCTTTTCAGTAATTGCAGAGACATTAGAGGGCACTTCCTGTCAAAACATTGCTCAGCTAAACTGGTGCCTACTTTTATCCTAAATAGTTTTTTATTTTTGAAATGGTCTTTTTTATATCTGGAACTAAATAAATGAAAAAAATCAATCATCAATTAGTAAGCTGTAGCCCCCACCAGAAAATGTACTGTACTGAAGTTTCTAAATCACTGCACTAGGTTTTAAAATAATAACTTTGGAAATTTTCCTATTCATTTCTAAATCACTATAATGACAAAATATATTATTGCTAGTTTGGACTGTTTGAATTTTTCTTAAATAAAATAAAAATTCACTCCTAATAATTATTAATGCAGACTCAGCTTGATGAGTCTTTATTATAAATGAATGATTCAGGGGTGATATTTGAAAAGCCTAAACAACCACGCCAGATTACCGGTAATAGGGAGTACAAGAAACAAAGCCAAAAACGAACAGTAAAAAAGAGAAAATATATTATAAATATAAGTCAACAGCTTGGGAATAAAAATGTGAAGACATAATGTGTTACTAAACATACATTTGTATAGATTTATAAACAAGGGGTCTTCCCTCCCCTCTGGGGACTGTACCTCACAGATGGAGCAAACGCTGCACAACGAGCCAGTGTGGAAGTGCTGTTTGGTGGAAGTATCATCTTCTTCATTTGTTTCACCAAGGTCCTCTGTTGTGTTGTCCTGCTCATCTAAAACCAAATAACAAACTGCATAAAGGGAATCAGCTTTAAAGGAATAGTACACCCAAAACATGATTAGCCTTCATTTTCTACTCACCCCCATGCTGAACAACACTCTGGAGTACTTTTTTGATATCTCAAATGCATCTGGAGATCTGGGAGGCTTCTTGCTGACTGCTGACATTCGAATAATGGAGGTCCATGGTGCCCGAGACAGAAAGGTCCATAAAAGTCCACAAAAAACGTGTCAATATTCCTCCATACTGCTCGTCCAATGTATTCCAAGTGTCCTGAGTGGGTAGCATCCAGAATTTACTCGAAACGAAGTCATTTAGAATGCTTTTAGAGCATAAACAGTAGTGTATAGGACTTCCTGAAAGCGCGTTCACGAGTCTACGGAAACCGCGGCAGACCAAACCAGATGAAAGTGCGCATTCAGCTCGGCAAAGAACTCATGCTCTTCCTCAACACTGAAGTCCTCAGACATTTTTCTTTCGTTGTTTCTTTCTTTGCACAGGTAAACAGCACATTTCTTCTTCTACGCTTGCATTATCGGCAGAGCAGACGCTGAATGCGCACTTTCATCTGGTTTGGTCTGCCGGCTTCCGTAGCGTCGTGAACGCGCAGGCGCGCGCTTTCAGGAAGTCCTATACACTACTGTTTATGCTCTAAAAACATCCTAAATGACTTCGTTTCGAGTAAATTCTGGATGCTACCCACTCAGGACACTTGGAATACATTGGACGAGCAGTATGGAGGAATATTGACACGTTTTTTGTGGACTTTTATGGACCTTTCTGTCTCGGGCACCATAGACCTCCATTATTTGAATGTCAGCAGACAGCAAGAAGCCTCCCAGATCTCCAGATGCATTTGAGATATCAAAAAAGTACTCCAGAGTGTTGTTCAGCATCGGGGTGAGTAGAAAATGAAGGCTAATAATGTTTTGGGTGTACTATTCCTTTAAGGGTTAATGGATTACATTAGTTTCCTCTGGTGTAGCAGGGATGCGTCACTCACTTCAAATTTAAACAGTGTTTATGATATGGATATATTTGGATACAAGGTTTGGTTGGAGAAGCAAAGCAAACATCAAATCTAGTGAATTTTATCAAATATCTAATTTCTTTGGTCTTGCTCTGCAATCCTTCACAAATAGATTTTTTTCCAAATTAGTTAAATTCCTTCTAAGTGCAAACTTACTTGGCAATAAACTTGATCCTGATATCCGACACAGTGTAGTAGGGCCATCTGTCGCGCCACAGACCAACAAAGCCTGTCAGAATCACCACACTAACTAAAGAGTTTCTATTTGCGATGGAACAGAGGAGGCATGATTAAAGTAGTTTGTGTAAAAGAGGGCTCTGCTGCCTTGTTGTAGCTCTGCACTAATTATCATCCTTCCTTCACCTGCCTCCGCTCAGAACTTCCCCACAGCTCTTGATTAGATTCGCATAGGCCTGCGGTACACTGTGCAATATTTTCAATAGTTTCTCAGCCCCAACTCAAATTGTGCGAATCAATCACATAGTCCAAACTTCAGTGCTTGTGATATATGTCTTCAGATCAAGGCCAGGATACGATTTTAACAACCTACACTGTAAATCCTCAAAGACAGATTGGGGTTTTAAACAATCCTGACATGCAACGCAATAAATAGAAGTAGCTAGTATGAAAGAAGGATAATAAGAAGATTTGCGCATGCGTAATGTGGAAAAATCAGTCTGGTTGTGTCACCACTTCAACATGCATTTTACTCATGACCAAATTATCAAACAGGTTTTTTCGCCTCTCTTGACCCCCTGTGTAATGCACAATGCCCAATTTGTCCAGGAGTCAGCCCGATCCCTAAACTTGTTGCACAAATTGAAAATCAAAAATGACCCAGTGTATGCTGGGCTTTAGAGGTGGCGAGTGAATAAGGTATTTATACTTAACTTTAATTCTATTTGAGTAAGTCTTTTAGAAAATATTGCTACTGCTAAATCTGACTTCTTGAATCGCTATTTCCGCCAGGGAGGTTATCTTTTTAGTTGAGTTGTATGTGTGTTTGTTTTTCTTTCTGTCCATCCGTCTGTGTCTAACACAAAGTTAGACACAGACGTAATGAATCCATTCAGTTATGAATGGATTTTAATGAAGTTTATACCAAAGGTGCACCTCAGTCCAAGGAACAATCAACCAAGTTTTCGAGACAATCCACATCACGATCCAGATGCAGGGATCTTTAAAAAGATTCTTTAACATTATGTGGCAGAGCAGGCAGTTCCTCCCTAAACCAGACAATGGCAGCAGTGACTATTGACAGCTTCAGGATCGGACTCAAATAAGTCCAGAAGTATTATACTGAAGAAAAAAAAAAACCCAGAAAGAGGAGACATGCACGAAGTCTTGATCTGCTGATCAAATAAGAAAGCAGAGTGCAGAGTGAAAGAGGAAGGAGAGAGCAGAACTAACAACAGTGGCAGCAGATACACGCTGCCCCTCTCTTTCATCATGAAAGGATTTTTAACAAAGGTGCACATCATAAGGAGGAACAATTCATTTGAATTTCGTAATGATCCAGATCATGTGAGAGTTTTAGCTATAGGTGTAAGTCACAATATAGGGCAAGCTTTGCCCCTTGGCGGAGGTCTGTGGTCGCAGAGTGTTTTACAGTAGTTTCAAATAAATATACTGAATTTATTTTAAACAAAATGCGCCAGAAAACACAGACAGTTAACATCTATATTTAAATTAGTTTTGTTTCTTCACAAGCTTTGTTTTAATGTTCTGAGGAATCTGCAATGGCAATGAAGGGCAGGTGAATATACAACAGCGGGTAAAATTAAAGGTGCATTGAAATAACTCATTCTAGATCCAAATGAAACAAACCATGAAATAGGTGAATATATTTATTACAAAGTGATAAATGTGAATCAAAATGATCAAATTGGAATCTGTATTGTTATTGTAATTAAAAAAAAAACTAAAAAAGAAAAATTATATAACAAGGTGATACAACGTCTGTGGAAATTACTCTATTCAAGTCTAAAAAAAAAACCCTCAGTAGAATATGTGACCTCCACATGCCTGTATGACCTTTCTTCAACACCCGGGCGCCCTCCTGATGAGGCAGCAGCTGTTATCCTAAAGGATCTCTTCCCTGACCTGAATTAAAGCATCAATCAACTGCTGGACCGTCTGTGGTGCAACTTGGTGTTTGTGGATCGAACAGGACATGACGTTCCAGATATTCTCGAATTGGACTCAGATCTTGGGAACAGGAAGGCCAGCCTATAGTATCCATGGCCTCGTCGTGCAGAAACTGCTGACACACTTCAACCACATGAGGCCTAGTAGTACCATGCATCAGAAAAAACCCAGGATGCAATGCACCAGCAGTTGGTCTCAACATGGGTCTAAAGTTCTCATCCTGGTACTTGGTGGTAGACTCTGGCTCGCACATAAAGGCCTCCCCATACCATTACTAATCTGTTAGCAAACTGGTCATGCTAAAGGATGTCGTAGGCAGTATAACATTCTTCGCCGCTTCTCCAGACTGTTGTATTTCAGTGTCAACCTGATCTCTTCTATGAATAGCACACAGCAGTGATGGCAAATCTGCCAATTTTGCGTTCTTTCACAAATGCCAATCACCCTACATAGTTAGGGTGTCAGCACAGGCCCCATTAATGGACACTGGACTGTAATACCACCAACATGGAGTCTGTTTTCAACAGTTTAACAGAAGAAGTCACACTAGTGTCCTGGAGGTCCTTTGACAGAACCTTGGCAGAGCCCCCCTGTTCCTTCTTGCTTAGAGAGGGAGGCACATATCTTCCTGCCTAGTTGTTGTCCTCATGTACTGGCCTGTGTCCTGGTATCTCCAGAATATCTTCTGACTATATTCATTGACAACACAAACCTTGCCCTAGCTGTACCACTTCAGCAACCTCTATAGGTTGTAGACTATTTCTAATTCTACCTTTTAGTGTTACAGCAGAGACAAAATGTGGCCAAAATGTTAACCAGAAGGTTGATAACAGAGAAATGATCTGTGGTAAAAAAAAAAAAAAAAAGAAAAGAAAAGAAACCTGCAGAACCACTAATTTATAGAGCTTGTTTTGCTAATTGTCTCTCAGTTTCACCTGTTGTTTTATGTGTTGACAGGTAAATATTATGAAGAGTAAGTGTTGCATTCTAGTTTGACAGTTTTATTTCACAGATGTGTGGCTGAGTGTTGTTTAGGTTTTGCCTTTTTTTTTCTTTTTAGCTGTAAACTTCACCTAAAGAAAGTGTTTGTTTCATAAGGTTAATATGACAAAATCAAACATAGTTTTTCTGCATTTAGAAATACCAGAATGTGCCCAGAACTTAATCCAATGTCTTTTTAAAATATATATTTTTTTTAAATGAAATAATACCAAGAGTAACTCAGTATCTCAGTTGCCTTTTTAATCAAATACTTTTTTTTACTGTAACACATTTCTTGGAAGGTTACTAAACTTCTAGTTGAATTAAAATATTTTTAAAGGAGTCCTACTTTTACTTGAGTACATTTTTGGGGTACTCTACTCAAGCCTGCTGAAATCTCTATATTCAAACTCCTTGGATTATTTTTTTCATAGCTGGTTTCTTAAATCATTAATAGTTCCATATCTCCTGTCCTTGTGCCTTGTTGTAAGTTGTATTATTTAAACTTTTCTAATCAGATTGTTTGTGTTGTGGTCCTGCTCCAATACATGACAATTGTAGCATTGGTTCCCCCAAAATGTTCCTGCAAACATTGTAGGCCATGATATTGAGGTTGAAACATAATTCTTATCATAAAACAAACACCCATATTCTCCTCCAGAGTAAATGACATTGTAGACAAGTCCTGTCAAAGCAAAATCCAACAAAGTTTTAAAAAAAGAAACCACTGTACTTTTGTTTTTGTTTTGTTTTTTGGAATGACTATGACCTGGATGACCTAGAATCCTTATCGGCATATGTCAGAGCAAAGCATTAAAAAAATTAGATCTGATATTTTTTAACTAAATAAATAACCCCAAACACAAATGATTTCGAAGAAAAATATTTTGGTATTCAACTTAAACCCAGTTTTACATTCTTTGGAAATATTTTCCTGTCATTTCACTTAATTCCAAATAACTTCATTCACATTCTAGTTTTGTTTTATTGTTTTATAAGTTCCAGCATCTGGTTTTGGATTTCATTTTAGCAGGGGTCATATTCTTAATGAAAAAAAAAATGTTTTTATATATATTTATATTTATATATATATATATATATATATATATATATATATATATATATATATATATATATATATATATATATATATATATATATATATATATATATATATATATATATATATATGTGTGTATGTATATTAGAGCCTGTTTTAGATCATAAACTGAACAATGACGGGCTCAGGTTGGGGTCGGTACCAGCTACCACAAAGATAAGCGGCTCTATTTTTGGAATGAAATGTATGACGGTGGTTCTAAAGTAGCTGGACTAGAGGTCCAGCTACTTTAGCAATATCACAGGGCCACTGCAAGGTGTTATAGGAACAGGAGGTTTAATGTCACAATTTACATTATTTACAATAGAAGTTAGCTTTATGAATCACTTTAAATCTATGATTCAAGAAGCAGCCATACCTTCTTCATCGTCTTGGTCATCCTCAGCAAGGTTTTCCTCTGCTTCTTCTGCGTCATTTTCCACCTCATCATCTGTGACTTCATCTGCAGCTTCCTCCTCCTCGTCACTAGCTTCCTCATCATCTGCAGCTTCCTCCTCCTCATCGTCACTAGCTACGCCATCATCTGCAGCCTCATCATCCTCTTCATCAGAGTCTTCCTCATCAGCATCACCATCTACCTCTTCTGCCTCCTCATCATCCTCCTCATTTGCCTCTTCCTCATCTTCCTCTTCCTCATCTTCCTCTTCCTCATCATCCTCTCTATCATCTTCACTATCTATCTCGACAGCCTCGTTCTCTACCTCCTCCTGCTCCTCTTCATCCTCCTCTTCTGCTGCATCAGCAGCCATCTCTTCCTCCACTTCCTCCTCCTCTGCTTCCTGTTCCTCTCCAGCCTTTTCCTCATCAGTACTTTCTTCCTCTTCCTTATCCATAGGGCCTACCTCTTCACCTTCCTCAGCATCTTCAGGTGTTTTAGCATGGATATCTTCCTCTTCATCAGTCACCTCCTGGGCACTAGCTAAACCAGAGTGGGGAAGTTGAAGTGGGGACAGGAGTACCAGCAGGAGAAAGACTACACAGCTTCTCACAAAGGCCATGTTGGAACAATTCGCTCTGGAACAGATATATTTCCTAATGTCTCACCTGTCAAACAAAAATCCAAGTTTGCTTTTTTAAATGATCATTTCAAATGCAAAGTAGGATCCAAGAAAATCTGTGATAAAAGTGGCAGTCTTTACAGGTCTGCAGAGAGCTGGTGAAAGAATGGCTTGGTCATGAGACTGGGAGAGTGAGCAGTGTGCCAGCCGTGTACTAGGAACACAGAGGACACTGTGGAAAAGCAATATGCACTCTGTCGTTGTGCAGCTGAAAGCTTGTGAGTGACAGAGGCACATGCCGAGGAAGAATGCTACTGATGTCCCTAACAGTGTGTTAGAGGAAGGGGTGTGTGCTTGATTGGGTCTGTTCTGCATGAAGTTGCTGTAAAGAAGGTTAGAAAACAGCACAAGAAAGTATGCATGAGGGGAACAATTCTAGATGTTAGGTGACAAATAATACATTCTCTTTTAAGAAAAGTTATTTATTTACCATCTAGTTTTTTAACACAGTAAATATTTAACATGGTAATACTCAATAGCAAATATCAATACACTGGTCATAGGATTTATTGGCCAAACTCATACTCCAAACATCTTAGTATTATAACTGAACATTTGTTTGATGTCATATGCATATGATGATCATACATGGAGTGATTCCTTTGATACCTTAGCTTTGAGATTATGGACCAAAGCCAAAGCAAATCCAATACTAAGTTTCTCAAAGGCTGTCTCGGAACTCCACCCTAATCACTATATAGGGCACTATAGTGCCCTATCTACTGGTTACGCCATTTTAAATGAGTGTCCAAACGTCTAGTGGACGAAAATGTAGTGGACTCAAAATATTTCACAATGCTCCTTGAAAGGTAATGATCATCCATTTTCACTAGAGAAGCAGATATATCCCAGATTGCTTTGTGAGAGCTCTTCTCACAAAGCATTATGTGATTTGTTGTGGCAGCGACAAATAACAAAGTTTGCGCAGGCACCATGTGGGGAGGCTAAGTTACATGACAGTGAAAATTAATTATCATCTCTCCGGTCAGTTAAATGCATTCACTATAAAGTCCACTTTATAGACTGTACCACACAGTGGAAGACTTTAATTGTTACATACAACCAAAGAAAACAGGATTGGGCTATTGTTGCATGAATAATTAATAAACACACTGTGCTGATGAGACAACTACTCTGCAGAGATGTTACGAAAGCCCAGGCTACTTTATTAGAAAACAATTCTCCTAAGGCTTATTTTATTCCTGTTGCTTCATTTTTCTGCCAAAAGTTTTTCTATCGCTGAACTTTCCATCGCTACTCTTTGAACAACAAGCCCTCTGTACAACCAGTAACTTTAGCAATTCAATTTTGTTTGATACCCTTCTTGTGAAGAGCAGCAGTGATGCCTGCTGGTCAACTTCCATTGTTGTTGGCCTTGCCTCTGAAAGGATTGGCCGGGGGGACTATGTGGGTCTGGGGTCGGATTCTGGTTCTGGGCCAGGTGTGGCAATGCATGACTCGGGATGAGGGGAATCACCATCTATATCCAGGGGGCTGGTTGCTCCCCTGGGGTAAAGCGTCATGGATTCGGGAGTAGAGTTTCTGTGTGGGCAATTACGACCACTGGGTGGGATTGTGTTGAGTGCATAGTTATGAATGTCTCTATGTGTGGGCTTGATTGTGGGAACGTGTGATTGTGTGCTTCTTTCTTTGTCAGGTTGGATCTTGGGCTGCTCCTGAATCTTCTCAGGCCCCCACTAAATGTAGAGCCATCTCCCTCTGATATCAAACTTCCTGTTGATTGGCTGACACCTTGGTGTGTTGGTGGTTACAGGTGTTAAGAGCTTGGTGCTTGGTTTTGTGCTGGCTAATTCCTGGTGGCTGCATGGTTGGGTGTAGATCCCCTTGTTCCGTAGTGCCTTTGCTGGAGCACAGTGTTCCCTTTAGCCCCTGGACTCATGACTGGATCTGCTACAGAGTAGCCAGCTGTCAGGGGGGGTCTACAGGCTAGCCGCTGCAGCCCCCTGTGGTTTTCACAATGTGGCTTCTGGGGAAATAAATCTAAATAAAAATGGCATAGTATTATGAGCTGAGAGTTTTACAAAGCCAGATAAAAGGTTTTAAAATGGTAGCTTGTAAAACGATCACAGGCTCAGACAGAAGTCAGAACAGGAAGACAGAGTGTCAGTTTGATGTATGGAGTGGATTTAAATAGAAATGAAGAAGATTGTAGTGTGCACATTCCACAGTTACATTTTTAGACATGCAGTGTTTTAACTTTCATGTTTGTCTATCAAAGCATTAAAGCAGGTAAAAGGGTAAATGTATTTATTTATATATCTATTAACTATATTTAGATAAATAGTTTACAATGGAATCTTTTAAATATTCCTCGGCTGTATATCTGCATTATCAGGGCAGCTATGGATCAAAAAGTGATTACTCTTTCTCAGTGTGAGCTGCTGCTTCATGCAATTGACAGCTGGTCCAGCAAACTATTTAGAGTAAAGGCTCCTTCAATAATTTGCTCCACTATGTGACCTTCAGTAGAGCCATGTCATGTTGAAACCAGGCACCATGCACCTTTTGTAACATCTATGACACTCCAGTCCTCAGTATATGCTGCTCCCACGAGTTTTAAATGACCTAAATATAATTGAATGAGAAAAGCCAAACCCTAATATAACCTTACAGAACTAGCCATATTTAAAAAGTGCTTCTTATCTCTAAAGAACTCAGCTGTCAGTTGCCCTAAAGGTTTTTTTTCTTTTCAGGCACTGAAATGTGACAGCACCCTTTCTTTTTTCATTCAGATACACGTAACTACAGAATACGCCAGTCATTAGCCCCCTGGGGAAGAGGTTTAAAAAGCCTCACAGCATTACTCATTTTTATGGTAAGGTCAATGTAAGGAATGTAGAAAACCTAACCTTTTTCAAAAATTTTTTGGTGCGGGAAAATTCCACTTAGGTTGTCTTATCTACCTTATCTAACGTTTCCCAACATTTGCACACACAGAAAGAATCATATTTGACCAGGACTCTTAATATAGTCTAAAAACAAAAAAACAAAAAATCTTCCTTTGCTATCCTCCACAATCTTTGCAGTGGTAAAAAGAATCTTGGTCTGGGTCCAGCTTTGTTTTTTCCAATTTGAGCGATTAAAAACTTTTAGATTATGCTCTTATTGTAGATACGGGAAGGTTTCTGCACATTCCAATTCACTCGTAACCATTTTTCTAGGCCTTCAGAAAGTGACATGATGTTTGATGAGCGTTACATGCTTTTTGATTTCTTCTCTCTAAAAAGTCATGTTGACATATTACTTGAAAGGTTCTTCCTTCTTGCTTTGGATGATGTACAGTTCCAGGGGTTAATTTATTTTTTTATTTTAGACAGGTGTTACGATGCATACTAATACAAAAAAGGCAGCTATACATAAAAAAAAAACATGCATGTACCAAAAACCAATCAAACATGTACTAAGTTATCACACCAGTATATTTATGTGAATGCCAACAACAACAAACATTATAAAAACAAAACATAATTTCATGTACAGGTTTACTTTTTCTTGCCCTTCTGAGGCTTTGTGAAGGCATATCTGTGTTTTGCATGGTCCAATATTGTGTCACAAACCTAAAAAAATTATTTACCAGTTTAATAACTGAGAAGCTATTAGTCAGTCTTTATATATTTCTATTGTATAAATGAGAATGTGTTTATTTAAGAGCAACTATGCAAATTAACAAACATCTAGAAAAAGTACACTATATTATATTATTTTCCTTGTGAGTCCCAGATTGTTCATGCATATTTTACTTTTTTTTAAAGTGCTTTAAAGCAGTCCTACCTGTCTTTATCCATGCTGGGTCAGATCCTGAAGTTAGAAAAAAGAAAAAGGCAGGCAGTCAAGGCAGCAGAATAAAGCCTTAGCCTCGCTGCATGCAGTTAGCCAAACCTTGTAGCTAAACCAGGTCCGGGAAAAAGACAGAGGGTACCATCTCCAACTGTCTTTGGACTGCTGATTAATTTTGATGTTCGGCTGATCAGGTGCAAACAGTTTCACTTCCAGCTTCTCTTGGTAAGTTTGCTTCCCTCCTGCAAACTCGGCCTGTCAATCACCCACACAACAATGATAGTTCCTGCCACCCCATAGGCGGTAGCTTTGGTGCACCCAGAATTATCCTATACATCTGTATTGCAGAGGAGCCGATGCGCATGGACAACTTTTAACGAGAGTCAATGAGCAAACATTTTTCCTCCCTAAAGCAGAAATATGTCAGCAATCCGCCAAAAATGAAATTACTCTTTACTTGTCATTAAAGATTAAATATTTATCTTGCATATATAAAAAAATATACCGGTATTATATTTAAAAATATTTACACTTTATAATTTAATTTTAATTTGTTTTTTTATGTCTTAATCAAGGTCATTGGGCTGGTGGGGCGTCACCCGAGCGTCCTCTATCGGCCAGACGCCACTGCTCTAATCTCAGAAGAACAGTTAAAAGCAAATATGCATTCAGCTTCTTTTTTTGAGTGTATGTCATGTTATGCCAATATGGATGTCCCAGAACTAGATTATAGCCCAACAGCTTTGCTTTCATAAGCAGACCATCAAGATTGCTGCCATAAGGCTCCGCTTGGTACTTGTATATGATACTTTATTGAAAATTATTTCAGGCGGAAAGGGAGGTAAGAAATTTTTTTTTTTTTAAACTGCTAAAATAGACAACACAGAAGATATACAATAACTCCTGGAAGTCTGCTTCCACACCTGTATGAGACAAGAAAAAGAAAAAAAGAACCTTAAAGAGCAGCAATTATCCCTTAGATATCCATGTGTGTGGAAGACAAAACCTATGGTGATTACACAATATTATTCAGGGTGGTATATATCTGTAGGCCTCCACCTTCTGACAAATAAAAAATTCAAGTTATGTTAAAAAATTCAAGCTAGTTCTTGAAACACTCTTGTTAAATAAACCCCACTTAATACATTAGATGGAGGAGATCAATATTTTAGGCTAAATAACACATAGACTATGACAGCTCTTGTAATTAACTCAATAGTTACCGAACGAAAATTTGGATCAAAATTCAATTAAACATACACCTAAAAACATAAATTGAAAGAATTACCATAATTTCATCAATTCCTTAAATAAAAAAATCTCAACTTTTATTGTCAGTACACTGTCACAACTACAGAGCAACGAAAGAACTCTCTGCATTTAACCCATCCCCTTGGGGAGCGGTTGACTGCCATTATGCAGCACCTGGGGAGCAGTGTAGGGTTAAGGGGCTTGCTCAGGAACCCAGAGTTGCTCTCTGTGGTATTGGGGCTTGGACTCAGAACCTCCAAGACCCAAGCGCAATGCTATCACCACTTGCGTGTGTCTAAGTGTTTTTAATAATTTGTTTTCAAATCTTGTCATAATGACGGGTGGGTACGAATGTTAAATGTGAGACATTTATGACTAAGTCTGCCCCGCCAGTCACTCAAAACCATTATGATTTTTGGGTGTGAACTTGATTTTGCAATATCGCCCCTTTTTTCCTCATGGATCTACCTTTGCATCACCTTAGGCAGTAAGGATTGGCTCAGTGACACATTGGGTGTTTGTTATATAACTGTTAACTGCTAAGCCTTTCCCACAGACACGCATCTGACTTTTGTTTTAAATACTTGAAAGTGATTTTAGTTGTAGGTGACGTCATTGTGTTTTAAATGCATCACCTTTTGCTGAAGTATCTGCAAGTCTCTGCAACACCTTAAGCTGTCTTCTGTTACGTCTTGTCATTCATTGTTGTTATTGGACTTACAGTTATCAAGATCCACTGAACCCAAGCAGTCCACAAAATGTTTCCAAAGTTAGTGATTTCACTTTTTGTAGCGTCAATAGTAAGAATTCTGTCATTGGTAGGAAAGGAAGTGGGGGATAGTGTGCAGAATGCGGGCAGCCTTTAGCCTTCCGAACAACGCTTCCTCAACTAAAACACATGTGGATAATGCCAGCCAAATTGGGACTACAGCCTTCTTAAAAAGAACTACAAAATTACAAGTTACAGAAATATAGTAAAGAGCTGATGCTCTCCATTATAAAACCAAAACCATATGAAGTGTGTACATTTCGATGTATCACAGAGTACATATGAAGAAATAATATATTTTTCTGGTGGTCTGGGCCTTTAAGTCCTGAAAGGATTGTGGGACTCATTACAGCTCTCTAGCTCCAGATAGGAACATTTCGAGGTCATTATGCAAAAAGAAATAGAAAATAGAAATAGAAAATCCCTTTATTGTCCCACAACGGGAAAATTGTGGTGTTGCAGCAGTAAAAGGTTATAGAAGTGGACCTTAGAAAAGTATATAAAAATAAGAGATAGAAAAATATAGAAAAACATCAATAACAGCTGTGGACATTTTAACAGTAATGGTCATTTGAAAAAAAGCAACAGCAGCGCTTTGCAAAAATGACAGCAGCATGTTATTTAACTGACTAAGACAGAAACTGTACAAAAATCAGCATGAATGTTATAACTTATTGAGGTTGTTGGGAACAGTGATGGTTATAAAGTCTTACAGCTGCTGGGAGGAAGGATCTATGATAACGCTCCCTGGGGCATTTAGTATGCAGCAGTCTGTCACTGAAGGGATATCCAGTTCAGCAACAGCGTCATGCATTAGGTGGGAGACATTATCCAACAGATATGTTAATTTAGGTAAGAACCCTTTTGTTTCCCTCCTGCACTGAGTCCAGAGGGCATCCAATCCAAAGAAGCATTTAGGCTCTTTCTCTCACCTCCTTCCTTACTGCCAGCACTATTGGGAAACTAATCATGGTGAACCCCAGCGCACTTCTACTTTAGCTATAGAGTCTGTATTGTGACTGAGCCTTAGAGTGTAAAAGGAAGTTTTTCAATGGCTTTAGAAGGCACCAAGCCATTTTGAAGTCTGCAGTTCAAAATCTATTGGAGGGATTCACTCAGATATATGTGTAAAAGACAAAAGATGCTGCTGTAAACCAAACTTGTGGACTTCTTGTGTTATACCATGGCTCCAAGAGACATTTTTGAAGTATGCTGCGTTAATTTCTTAATCCTCAGTGACAGCATGGCTAATGAAAGGGTCCTTTGGAGTAATTCAACACCAATTGTTTGCCTGGATAAGTTTGGGACAGGATTGGGATTGGTCATACTAAATATGATTAAAATCAGATTATATAGGTGAAAGTTAGAGCCAAATGGCCAATGCCGGTTGTTGGGCGTCACCATACAGCCACAGTAACTCCTTCAATGAAAAAAGCAAAAGCATCATGTTATCCGTCTTATGACAGGACTGAAGTGGATTAGGTGACAAGGGTCAGAGAGGAACCTTTCCAAGTGGAAAAATTGCCTCTTTTTCTAGGGAGAGTGGGTTCATCGTACCGTTGGGCATCAAGTACAGCACAGTTACTCATGCTGTAATTCTGCCTGTCTGTAGAAAAGTTACAGGGATATTTTTTTTTAAGCAGGAATAAAGACTTGACCTGGTCAAGCCCTATTTACATTTACCAAAAGGTTTTTCTTTTATTACACATTTTAATTTCAAATGTCCTAAAGGGATGCTTACCAAATTTGAAGCCAAAACCATAAAATCCATAGGTGGAGTTTGTCATCCCTCAACATGTGTAAAATCTGAAAAACCTTCCTCTTAATTTTAGAAGATTCCTTTAGAAAATACATCTGAGTCCTTAGGAAAAAAATGCATACTTATCTGGTTATGACTTAGGCTTACTTGAAAGAACTTTTTGTTTACTGGACAGAGCAGCTATATTTAGGAAATGTGTGTTCTGCTTTCAAACTTGTAGTGCCCCAATCCCTTAAAAACATCTACACAGATTCCTCAGTTTTTATTCAGACCCATTTATAATCTGCCCCTCTGTCAGCAGTTTTAGAAACATTTTTTTTGCAGAAAGATGTTGCATGTATTCTCTAGGTTGTTTTTTGGAGAAGGTGGTCTCTAATGAAAACATCTGTTGGGGTTAGCAGCATCCAGGCCAGTCATTTAAAAATGCTGAACATGCTAAAAGGCTTCCTCTGGTCTGAGAACCATTATGAAAAGGTTCAGAGATTATTTTGGAAAGACCGATTTGTGACAAAACAAACCTAGGGTTTTCTCATTACGATACCAGAATACCCTGAGATATTGTCTTCAAATAGAAGCTTCTTCAGAACTGCATTAATTTTTTTTTATCTGTAGAACTTTAGGAAGGGAAATAACTAATGAAAGAAACATGCAGGAATAAAATCTTCTTAAAATTTTTAATAGACTGATTTAAGAACAAAACTGGCCTGGTACTTTACAAATGTAACAGAGTATAAAACAGAAATACAGAGTAATAATGTCTTTAAATACCATTTCAATAAAAGAAATTCCACTGGCTCCTACCTTCTGAAAAATCAGTTATTATGAACAGTACAAAAAGGATCCAAAAATCGACCTAATTTAATAAAAGTCATAAGACAGTAAAAGTAAAATTCTTAGGCTGAATGACAGTTGTAACTTGCCTTAAACAACCACTAATGATTTAAAGAACACCAAGTAGTTTTGAAGCATTAAAGTAAGACTGCATATACTTTTAGCTTACCCCTTCAATTATAGTACAAACAATATAATGCTTATAATGTAAACATAAGGAAAATGTAACTATAACAAGAACAATGAAGGCAATAATATCAGAGAACGAATACTGTTGCAGGTTAGGGTGTGCTGAACGATCATTAGCACTTTTGTTTTCTTTTTAATTTAATGATAATGATGGGTGGAAACAAGTGTTAACAGTTTGTTGCCTTAACCAGCTGTTAGTGTGTCATTTCCCTTTCAGGCCAATCCTTTCTGGCTCACAAATGCTGTCAACAAGGATTTATGATGAACTGGAAGAACTGGGAACAACATCTATGTGGGAAACAGGAGAAAAGAAAAGAAATTACAAGACTTAGAAGTGCATTCCAGCGAAATACCTTCTAGTATGGAGTAACGAACTAAAAAGACCGATATAAATGTGTCAACTGTTCCTAAAGACAGACCCAGCCTTCATGCTTATTCTTGTGATTTACCTCTGAATGTAGGTGGCGGTCGGGGGGGCTTAAATGTACCACTTTGAGCTAAAGTATCCACAATCCACCTCAGGGCATTTGAGCAGTTTTCCATCTAGGCAGAGGAAGAGGGGGGCAAAGTTGAGTTTATTTCGTTATTTTTTCTTAACAGAAGTAAATTTTACCCAACAAAAAAAAAAAAAAAACAATCCTGATTTGAGGATTTTATCATTACTATTTTTTTTTTTTTACCTTAGTAGTGATTATTAAATTCCTGACATATACCATGCCTTATTCATAGGGCAAACTTAGCAGAGGCTCAACTGAGAGAGAAATGTGACCCTAGGAGAGAAATGTGACCATGCTAATGCAGTATAACCACAGTCTTTGACGAGCTGTTCCTTTTAAAAGCAGGAGAACAACATTGTCTGAATGCAATTAAATGGAACAGAGATGTAAACATGATCTGAGCTAAATCAACATGTCATCTCAAAACGGAAGAAGCAAGCTAATATTAGCCTGGAATTCTGACAAGCAAAGACTCAGAACAGTGATGTGCGTTTTCACTGAGGGTTCTTTTTTTTTTCCTAGAAAAAATATGATTAATGTAATGGAACTGTTAAATCTTATATTACACAAAGGAGGAATTTTCTTTTGAATACTCAGAATTGAATGAAAATCAAAAAAGTGGTAGAAAAGTGAAATACACTTTTTTAGGCCTTATACTTATTAATTAGGCAGCTGACAGGAGGCATACATTGCAACATTTTAGCTTGATATGCATGTATAACATTTAGTTATACCTTTGACTATAAAATTTTTACTCATATATATATATATATATATATATGTATAACATTTAGTTATACCTTTGACTATAAAATTTTTACTCATATATATATATATATATATATATATATATATATATATATATATATGTATATTATTTAAATCTGACTGTTACTGCTCTAACAAATAAAATACTTGTCTGTTCAGAAAACAGACTTCAAGTTCAGGGTTCTACTCCCCAGTTCTTGCTCAATGCGTTTTTTTTGCCTGCATCCTAACCCATCTCCTTTTGTAATAGTCATCTGTGGGAGAGGGCTTGGATTATGTGGATCATAATGAAGGCTCTTTTCAGTTCAAAGCAATTGTAAAAGAATAAACATATGGCACGCCATATATTCACGCACCCTGTCTATCAAATAGACAGCGTCATGGAAATTTGGCAAACTAGGACAATGCCAAGAGGCTCGGGTTACACAGACTGCAACTATTTGTGGTATCAATCAGTTTGAACCTAGTTTCACCGATATTACAACTTCCTTTTAACTTGGATAATTCATTTACTGTAAGTGATTTCTTAAGGGGCATAAACAGTAACATCCGTACTAATGTTCTGGAAAGTTCAATAAAATGATTTGGATATTTAACATTTTTGTTTATTTTTTATTTATCTACTACTTGTTCATCACGACATCTCCAATTAAGATTTAAAACTTTGAACATTACATTTGAGAACTACTTCCTTATAACTTCATAATGAAAGGTAAAGCGGTTATTTTCAGATATCCATGTTGGCCCTAACAATTAAAGTACTTGTTGATCTTAATAGGCTGTTCAGATGCAGTGATGCATTCATTGCCAGAATGTAGCTTGGGAATTTTATTATTTTAGGTTTATGTTATTCCTGTCTCTTTTTTTTTGTCATTATATTTTTTAAGGTAAGGCCCGAGCCTTTGCAGGTTCTTGGAAAAAAAAATTTCAGTTGATTTTCACCTCATTCTCGAGAACCCGAAGTCTCTGGTCAAAGTCTCTGTTTTCACTCATATGTTTAGCAACACCATCCATCCTGGGGAGGTAAATAAAAAAAGTAAAATATATATCTAAAATAAATAATCAGTTACAGAAAACAGCATCTTGAACATATTCACCAGTTTAATTTAACTAAAATACGTTATGGGAACTCACTTGACCGACATCCTTTTAAGCCTCTCAGAGTCGCTGCTTTTCTGGATTTTGTTTTGGGCCGACAGAAAATCTTCCTTTTGGATGGTTTCCCATGTCATTAATCTGTTGGCATCCTTCCTATTTAACTGCAAAACTAAAACAGACAATGCAAGATGGTGACGTAACTGTAAATAACAGTAGCCTTTTTCAGAGGGTGGATGGAACAAATGACAGTGAACAAAAGCAGTAAGAATGGCATGAACCATGAAGGGCAAATTATTGACACAATACACCTCAATAACATTTGCTTACTAAAAAAATACCGGGTCAGACACTAATGTTGGACAAGAACGCCTGGCTCATGGTTTGCTCTATTTTAGCCAAAAGGTTCTTTTAACGCAAATATTTTTGTGAACCAGTGTCTTAGAACAAAAATTAAACCATATTTCCAAACAATTAAGCTGCAAAATTTGGTCTGATAGAATTTTAAAGTCTGACATATTGACTTATCAAATCTCTATAATGTTCTTGTTGGTTGGATATACTCCTTATGTCAATGGGAACATTTGGCTCAATTGTAATCAGTATCGCTGTGGCAATTCACAGCATTATCATAGCAAATATTGTTTTGTTTTTTGTGTAACCTTACTTTTGATACAATGCAGTTAGGAGGATTTTTTTTTATCTCCTGGGAACTGAAACTCAAAACATTTACTTGCTAAACAGAAATGCACTTTTTCAAATCAATTAATAGAACACATCTTCTCTGATCAAAATACTGACCAAAGTGCTGAACTTTGACCGAGGGCACTTTTCGGATCTTCCTCTTGATAAAGAGATTGATGTGGGAGAGGATGATGAAGGGAGGAGCCAGTGACGGTCTGGAGTGATACTGAACAATCAGGTTGTAACGTTGAAACTTCCAGTAAGACTCGCTGTTCGCTTGCACTTCAGTGAAAGTGTTGCTGTGTGAATATGACAAAGTTGGTGTAAACATTGAATCTAAAAAAAAGAAATTCAATTGTACGGTCCCCATTTACCTACCTAAACATTGCAATGAGCAGGTTGATGAGAAGGATGTTGGTTACCAGAAGGTAAACGACCAGCAGAATGACAACTAACCAGTTACTCAATGATGTTCTGCATGGTTCTGAACCTCCTTCAATCAGTGTCAGGTTGGTTGTGCATTCAACATCCCAATCTTTTTTAACTGAAGCAGGAAAAACACTGGCATCAGTGGAAATCTCAAAATACACTTTCATTCTTTCATGATTTTACTGGAGGTATTATTTTATCAAGGCCAAAATCAACTCTCCAAAAGCCCATAAACTGACTAAAAATTTATAGATGAACAGACAAATGGAAACAGGGATGGATGATGAAAAGGCAAGTGGACAAAAAAATGGACCGGGAAGATGGAAATTATTTACCATTCTAAACTTTTATTTCTATTCTTCTTCAGACCTGCAAAGTATCTAGATCAAACTCGAACATCTTACCATCTACCTCCTCCACAGGAATCTGTCCATATATGTGCAGGTAAGGCCTGTAGAAAACTCTACGAAGGATACGATCTAACTCAGGATCGTAGGAGTAAAGTAAAGCCTGATTTGTTACGCCATACGCCATGATCCACACTCCCAGGAAAAAGAGGAAGAAGAAGACATCTTTCACCTTTAAAGAAAAAAAAAAGTATCCTGTAATTGTTGCACTATATAAAAAATTAAGTATAATCACAATGTGCTTGAGTAAAATTCTCACCATTTTGCCAACAATGATAATTTTTGGCCCAAGCTCTTTGTGAATGGCAAAAATGTGAATGAGACGAAGAGTAAAGACCATGAAGCCCACGCACAAGACTTCCCTTCCAAACTCAAGAGTCCACCGAAACATCCTAGGACAAATCAAAAGTTCTTTTTAAATTATTGAAGCAACAGCACCATCTAGTGGTCGATCTTTAAATGACATTGAAATCAGTGAAAAGGGGTAATGCTATATAATCTGTAGATATTGTCCAGTGAAATGTAATGAACGAAGTTCTGAAATAAAAGTCTATATTTTTTTTATATAAAGAATTCATTTTCAATTGGAATATTGCATAAAGGTATAGTGGAGGATGTTCTTTTTCTGGGTTGATCATCAAAATAAGCGGTCCTCTTATTGTCAATCATTCAGGTGATGTGTTTACATAATGCCATCTAACGTGCTTGTCCCAATTTTCATTTACTGGTGGAGAGTCTGACATAGTGGTAAAATAGCAGATCTTTTGAAAAAGTAAGCTTGTATGAGCGAAGCAACTATTAAACAGAGCTTGCACAAGGAGAAATGGGCTTGACTACTTTTAATGGTTCAGTTATGGAAAACCTAGGGTTTGAAATGCAAAATCCACAAAGAGTTAAGTTTTAGAACAGTTAGACCTCTCTGGTAAACCCAGGCAAATGAAATACCTCATAATTATATAATTATATTGTGTTTTCCTAGCATAAAGTTACTTAGATACAGACTAATCTGAGCCTTCGCTTAACATGGGAAAAAAATCCTTCAGGAATTTAGGGGACTCTGTCCATATTTGTGCACCATTTGGCATCTTTGACTGGAATCAAGGCAAATAAAGTGAGATGGACAGACATGTTTTTCAGCAATAATGGTGTCCATAAGGCTTATTTATTAAACATTGCTTGTGATCTATACTATAAGTGTGGTTACAAGGAGTGTAAAGATAGATCAAAATCATGCTTAAGTTCACACACTGGTTTAAAATTCCCCAACTGATCAAAATACTTTTTTGCTTGTTTTATTCACTCAATTCTTTAAAAAAAAATTTTTTTTTTTACTTGTTTATAGTGTTGACTCATTGTCAACACTATTTCTCTCATTTTCTCATGTTTCTGAACATCGAATAATTGCTCATGCAGATAAAAATTAAACACTAAAAAAGGGATCACCAATGCCAAGTAGTGGTAGAGGGAGTCTATTTGCAGTCCCTAACTCTAGTCTACCCTAGTCCATGTTAATTAGCGACCATATGGCTAATTAACACATCATTGGGACTCAAATTATTTCTGAAACTTTTTTTTTTTTTTTTTTAATAGCGTTTTCTTTCCCCCTCTGATTTGCATCATGAAGTAGTTTTATGAATAAATCCAAAAAAAGTTGTTTTTTTTCCGCCCCCTTAGGGCTAATTTCCTTAACATGAACATCCACACACCTCTGTTATATCACTGCACTGTTTTAGATATTATTTGTTTTCAGTTCTATTCTTTTTTTAAACCCCTTTACTGCTTTTATCCATATTCATTCTAGTTTTTATTATTCTTTTTATTTTTAACTAGTAGCTAGTTAATAAATGATTAGTCTAGTTTAAGAGTTTTGCAACCAAAGTATTTTAACTAGAGGTAATATGTGCACAGGGCCCCATCCCACAAGGGGATGTTTTTTTAATGGGATAAGTTCAACTTTATGGAAGCTTTGTAAATTATCTACAGCAATATTTAATACCTGCCAACTAATCCCAAGATGAAAAGAGTAATAGCAAGGAGGTCAAACTTATTCCAAACATCCTGAATGTAGACTCGGAGCCTCTGACGCCAGTTCATCACCCCTGAAAAGAAGGTCTGAAGGGGGTAAACATTACAGTAACTGATTGGAAATAAAACAAAGAAACAAGCGTCTAAAGCATTCTAGAGTTTAAACTCATGGCATGGAGATTAAACAACTGACAAACTAGATTATTTCTGTTTTAACAATAACTGGACATTAATCTTTTAAAGTCATTTTACACTGATTATCACACTCACCTCTCTTATCTCCTCACACACCATGGTGAAGACCCAGAAGTACAGAATGTACTCCGTTATGGCTGGACCAGATGGAGGTGGCGGCTTGAAGTCCACCAACAGAACATACGCATACAGGAGGAGAAAGAGGAAGTACATCAAAACGTTCCCCATGAAGGCTGTGACTGGAGCAAACCAGAACTGACGCCAGCGGGACAATATGAACGGACGCTTTGGTGGGGTGTAGATTTCAGGGACATCTGAAATGAAACAAGAAAAGATCTTGAAACCAGCACCAATTATGTTTACTTTTTTTTTTTTCTTCCCTTCCACTTTTTTAACTAACTTTTAACTTCTTTAACATGCCTCACCTCTGCTGATAGGAGTTCCGGGAATGTGGGCCTCTCCGTCAGCTTCCCTAAAAATAAAAGATTTCAGTGAATTAATTCAGTTACTACACAGATGTGTGACTGCATCCACATATTTAAAGTGATTCACTGATTTTATGCAAAACAAGCACAAAGTAGTAGATTATGGTAATGTGAATAAAAAAGCATTTGGTTCCTAAACCTTTTGCAAATTAAAAGGTATGCAAAATTGTGACATATTATTAAGGCTCAGGTTTTAACACGCTTGAAAAACACCTTCAGCCTGGTGAGATTGGACTGTGACCTTCCTCTGCATGAATTTATTTTTTGCCACAGAATGAAATTCCTTTTGATCTGGACTTGTATTTGATTGGATCATTCTAATGCCATAGCTCTAGATCCTGCTTCACTGTTTATACTAAAGCTGCCTGTATCATCATAACACCACCACTAGATATCACATGATGTGTAAAAGTTTCCACAGCAGCATTTCCACAAAGGCTCAGAGTAATTGCCAATGAAAAACTTCACTTATTAATGGTTCACTTTGTGTTGGTCTGCCATGGTTAAAAAAACAAATGTAAAAATGGATTCCCACTTCTACAGAGAACTATAAATCATGCTGAAAATATAGAGAAACTGAGGACAAAAGGCAGAGTATTGAAAATACTTCAGTATAATCCTTACATGTCCTTGATTTCAGAGTAAGAGAAGACAGTTGTTCCATAGTGACTGTGTGCATCTTGACTTGGCTTATCTTCACCATTTTGTTCTTCCTCTTGGTTAATTGTTTCCCTATATGGTAAAAGTGAAGAGTATATCAATGGTTACGATGAGTTTTACACATTCAGAAAGCTAATGTCAATCCTGATATTTGTAGATTTTACCTGAAAGAAATTAAGTCTGTGTAACAGAGGAAAGGGCAGAAAAAAGTGAGCAGAAGCTTCCAGACCTCCGTGTCTCTCTGCATGTCACCCCACCAGATCTGGGACAAGAGAGACTGGAAGAAAAAAAACAAAAAAAAAAAAACAATCATCATAAGACCATCACGGGTTTGATTTGTTTATACACGATACAAAAAAAAGTTTGGCTGTTCTGGTTACCTGCAGTGGACTTAAAGATGGCAGAAAAGGAAGAAAGAAGGACTCTAAAACTAAGACCAGTTACTGTAGAATAGTTTAATGGTCCTTTTACTTTAGTAACTTTTAGAAGTAGACGTACTTTACCAAATCTTTAACTTGATATTCTTGTGAGATCACTCTTACTTGAATTAAATTTCTGTTTACTCAGCATGAGTAACCTGAGTTATGAGAGATCAGCTGGAAATACAGTAAACAGTAGATATTGTACCTGGAAGATCTTTTTACTGCCTAGACAGACGGATATTAATTATTTACTGTAAAGAATGGTTTTATAAGTTTGGGTTGCTAAATGCAAGTAAAAAGGGTTTCTTTTTATTTTTTTAATCATGTTATTTTTTGGGTTGCACTTTATTTATTGAAATAGAATTTGTACTTAAATGCCAACAATTACTCAATGCTTGAGTAGCCCTTTAACAAAGTTCTATTTTACTTTTACTTGAATAACTTTGATTACTAATTACTACTTCTACTTGAATAAAAAAATAAATAAAAATTGCTCTACTCTAACATAAATACATTATTTTTGGCTCCTCTACCACCTCTGTTGACATATGTAAATATATTAACATGTTTAGTTGTCATAAAAATGTTGACAGTCTCACCAGTAGGTGGCAATGGTGGTAACATTAACATAAAAACCTGAAAAACTGAATTTAAATAGCCTAAAGATAAAACAAAGCTTATGTTTCCATGGATGTGATACCAAATTGTATTTTTTAACAGCTAAATGCATGTGCTTTATTATATTTTCAATGGAAACATGAACACAGACTTTAGGGAATTTTTACTTAAGATTGACTTTTCTACCAAAAGTTCCCATTATACACAACAGAAAAAATCCTGCTAAATCTTTTTTTGTGTGTGTGAACAGAGACAAATCAAAGGCCGTAAATTGATGACAGACCTGCACTCCATCATGGCTGAAGAAAGTTCTTGCATCAGCACTCATGCCCATCTGTAAACAGGTGGTGCCTCCCCAAACAGCAGATTTCATTATCAGCAGATCAAAGGAGCGATTTTCATTGCTGCGATAGCAAGAGCTGAAGATATCTTGGACAAAGAAAGGAGGTCAGTTTGTTTTGTGGTTACCGTTAAAAAAAATTCATAAAATGTATTCCTTTACAACTTAATTGAGAACATCGCTGTATTCAAGTTAAGATTACTTTTACAGAATCAAAGCATCTGACAAATAATGAGGTACGTGATAACTAATGCTAAAATTGCATATCTCTGTTTAATCTGAATACACTACAATAGTGGTAAAATTATGAAGTTCAATGCTATTGAAGTAGATATTTAAATCATGTAAAAATCTAAATAATCAAATCACAGAAATATTACTTTATTTCAAATTAACAGTTTCAGGATGGCTGACTATATTATTCATGAGAAGACTTTGAAAAACTGTTATAATGCATGGATATTATGTTGTTGTGCAAACAAATTTGGATTTTATTTGACTATGAAGTGTTTTTCATCCTCCTCACTTAGGTTAAGAAAAGATAGAGAGTTCAGACTGGGACAACAGTGAGCAGAAACAGTAATCATCACATTTTCTAACGTCTAGAGCAAAGGATTGATGAGGCAAGAGCCGCAAGTTTTGCCAATGGCTGATTCACTGTACACAAGTCTAAATGTATGTGGAGCAGAGATCATTAACAAGTCACAACAAAACAGGGTAAACCTGCTAATGTAGCCAAGCTCTTATTTGCTCCACAAGAACGCACTGTCTGTAGAAGGAGTGAAAGATAGGTTTATAGGTTTATCTTATGCACCTCATTACATCACTTTAGCATTCATAACAAATTTTGTTTTATGTTTCTGCTAAAAAAAAAAAAAAAAAAAAAAAGGCTGTCCTGATGGGAATCCAGTTAGGACAAAATATATTCTATCAACAAAGTGCCAACTGCTATTCCCTGTCATAGGTTGGACACAAAAGTACAAATTATTTCTCAACAGCTATATTTATATTGTTTAATAGAAAAAAGTGATGCAGTTTCAGTAACCAGCTCACCATGTGCCCGGTTCTCAAACGTGAGGGCCAATTCTTTCATAGAGAGTTTCATTTCATTTTCCGACTCCAGCTTGGACAGTTCTCGAAGGATTTTACAGCCACTTAAAGCAGTAAGCACCGTCTCTCCTGCCTGACACGGGCGGAAAGGCAAAGGGTTAGAACCAAAAAATAAATAATTTAAAACTTTTTTATTGATTTTATGTCAACACAAAGATTATTTTATACATTTTTTGGTTGAATTATATAACAAGAGTAATACATCAGACAGCGTATTATAATTTTTTAAAATTTCTTCATTATCTAAGTAAAAACAACAACAAAAATCATTATGGGCTTTAGTAACTTATAATTAGTATAATTATAAGCTAATAATTTTGATTTCTGTTAAATAGTATAACAGTTATAAAATATAGTACTTTATTATTATTCAAAAGGAGATTATTATTATTTTCACCAGTTGAAAAGTTTGGTCGGTGGAAGTGGGGATACTTAGGTGGTGCAAAAACATTTTAGTAAACCAAAGAGCGGACTGGGAAGAACAGTTTGGGAACAACTAAACTAAGGTAAACAAAAATGGTAATAATAATAAAAACAACAAAAATGTTTAACTTTATATTCACCAGGAAGGCCCTTAAATATAAACTGCTCTGAAGGAGATACAACCCCCTATCCTCACCAATGTATACTTAAAAATGGAAATACTCCCTCCACTACTGTGGTGACAATGGATGAACACTAGGTGGCACCCCATGAGAACACAGTAGCATTTAATGTTATGACAAACTAAGTAATCTTCAATGCCACTTAAACACAGTCTAGCATTGGAAAGTTTCTATAAGAAATTATTGATATCATAACATGAACTGCTTGCAGTATTGGAACAATTATGTGATGATAGGGTTTGCCATATAGACCATGAGCATATCTTGTCTCTCATCTGGTAAAACTGAAAACCTAACCAGTTCATGCTAAAACATAGACATCTCCAAGCCATACCACCTGCTTTAAAAAGTTCTGCAACTGGCAGCTCTGAAAATTATCCATCATTTCTTTTACAAATGATGCCAAATTGCAATGCAATTTGGCTTCAGAGCAAACCACTCCACTGAATCAGCAAACAGCTTTTTTATAGAAAAGGTGAAAAGTCAATTGGATATATACCCCTGTGTTGGTGCAGTGTTCCTTGACCTTAAAAAGGCTTTCGACACTGTCAACCATGAACTTCTTCTAACAAAATTGTCAGACTTCAATTTCTCACCAGAGGCAATTCAGTGGCTTAAATCATACCTATCCTCAAGAAAACAATGTGTAAAACTTGACAGTATAAAATCATCGGTCTTGGATGTCTCTGTCGGTGTGCCGCAAGGATCAATACTAGGTCCCCTGTTATTCTCCCTGTACATAAATGATCTTCCCAAAATATGTAATAGTGTGAATTTTCAAATGTATGCAGATGACGCTGTAATTTATACTCATGCAAGAAGTGTTAAAGAGGCAGCTTCTATTCTGACCTCAGCCATGGAGCAAGTAAATAACTGGCTTTTTAAATCATGTTTGCTTCTCAATTTCAAAAAAACGGTCTGTTTGATGTTCTCAAAGCAATCAAAAGAAATAAAAAGCTCCGGAGTATTCTTGAGAGGAGAAGAATTACAACTAGTCACAGAATTCAAGTACTTTGGTGTGATACTTGATTCCACTTTGTCCTTTAAAAATCATATCAAAAAACTTGCCAATACTGTCAAATTTAACCTTAAAAATTTTAAACAAATCAGGTCTTTTTTAACACTTGGTGCTGCTAGAATTGTTCTCCACTCAATGATTTTATCTCACATTGAATACTGCATCACAAGTTGGTCTCTCACCACAGTTACCAATTTAAAATTAATTGAATCACTGTACAAAAAATCTCTAAAAGTGTTTGACCAAAAACCTAATTCTTTCCATGTATGTAATATTTTAAACAAGTACAATCTTTTAAATTTTATAAATTTTAAGTATGTATGCTTCATTTATAAAGCTCTACATGGACTAGCCCCACCTCCTATGTCTACTCTGTTCAAACACAAGACTTCAAGTGGCCTGAGAACCAGGGCCTCCTCCAGAGGAGACTGTGAGGTTCCTCACAGAAGAACAACTTTTGGTCAGAACATTCTCTCTGTGAGAGCCACTAACATCTGGAACAGTCTTCCTCTACACATACGGGAGAGCCCTACACCGATCAGCTTCAAAGCCCAACTCAAACTACAGATGAAAACAAACCAGTCATGTAACCACTAAACTCTTAACATTTCCTTGTGATGCTTGTATTGTATGTTATGTTCTTTCTTATGTATTTGCCTGCCTAGGGACTACGGATGGAAACTAGCTTTGTAGCTATAATCCGGCATATTTACATTTGTTTTTATACTGATGTTCATTAATGTGCATTGTCCCTATTCAAATAAATAAAAATATCAAATATCACATTCATGTATTTTCAAGATATTGATTGGCACTGCAAGAACTATCAGACTCCTCACTGAGAAACTTCCAAATGATTAAGGGTGTTCAAACTCCTGTGTTTAACCATTATCACCAACTTCTGCATTAGTTGTACTGCTGAAAGGTTTAGATAAAACAGCCTGCTAATTTTTTGTACCGACACCTTAAAAGAAGGAATAAAAAAACAGTCTTCTCTGAATAACAGTTATCATCCGTCATCTATGTTTACTCATAGAGTACTTGCTCTAAAAAGAAAAAAAAAAAAAAAACCTGCACCTTTGTGATGCAAGACTTTCAATTTCTAGGGATATTTATTATGTTTATGCTTTGTGTCCTAGTGAGATTTTACCATCTCCCAGAAGAAAGTGGCCATTTCACTGCGGTTCTGCAGAACAGCCCAGATGAAGAGTGAAGCCCAGGGGAAAGAGCAGCGCCTGTTCTGATATCTGCGATCTTCACGCAGCAGCTTACTTGCACGCTAGGATCAAGAAATAATCATACAAATATGGTAAGTAACAAGAAAAATTTTAATTTCATGGTGTTGTCTTTCAAACACAATCTAACTATTGAAAAATAAAATGTACCTTGAGAGCTTTCCTTTTGGAACTGATATCCGCTATGCCCAAAACATCATAGTATAACGGCTGGCAGATATCACCCCACAATAAATCCAGGACACCTGACACCTAAAGATGTTGACCAAGAAACATTCAATCATTTTTACTTTTTTCCTCATATTATTTAAGTACTGGATGGCTGTATAGGACAATTAGTAAAACCTCACCTCAAAAAGAGTTATGTCTGTCATTGGTCCACTCACAGGGTTATCTGGATATTTAGAGGGTGAATTTGGCTCACTAGGTGCTGCAGGCACTGTTGTTGTAGTTCCAAGTCTGACCACTAATCTGCGCTGCAGCAGCTGGTATAACAGCGTTGAATCAGGAATAGAGCTGTAAAGCTGTTCCAGTCTGCCATAAGTCAGGTATTGTGCAATGTTTAGGCCATTCTCAGTGAAAAGCTGCACAAACTGGGGTTTATCATTGATCAGGACATCCGTCATGGAATCAATCAGGTCATCATACTGTTTGATGAAAAGTGGGAGAATTACACATTTATCAACAAAAGGCTTTTGATGACCAAGAGAAACGTTTTTAGTTTTTAACTAATAGAGATAAGATGTACAGCATTATGCACTTCTTTCTATTTACCTCCCAATTAATGTCTCCATTGAAAAGTTCACTCTTGGCAATGTCCACCCGGTTCCATGCAACTGCTAGTTTAAGCTCTTCACTGTAAGGACTGTCCTCGACTGATGCACAGTGTTTACTTGCTGTAGGAAAAAAGAAACAAAAAAAACATGTCTAACCACATTAAAAGACACCTAGATGTCTTAGTTCAAAAGTTTTACTCACCTCCAACCAAAGCTTTCAGGAGGACAGTGTCAAAGTCCGTTGGGCTCTCCTGCTCTCCATGGTGAATTAAAATCAGGTCTCTATTTTGATAGATACTTAGAGCCTGGAAACAGATCAGAAAAGAGACATATTAGAAGAAGATAGAAAATGTGTGGGGAAAAAAGTTAACTGGAGGAATAAGAGTCTTTAAAAAGTTCTATTATCTAGGCTAAATGGCTACAGTGGCAACAATACAGGATTATCTTGGACTCCTTAAAGAATAAACATTATTAAACTCTCAGAACCCTATTGTCCAGAAGGTGGCCAAGTGGCTTAAATGCAAACCTGTATATACGTCAACCTTTATATTTTTTATGCATTTATGTCACAGCAGAGAATAGAAGAATGGGAGTGATCAAGATGGATCACTCCCATTCTGCTCACCAAAGAAAGGAAACGTACAGAACTCACCCTTTCTATATGTTTGTCAGTGTCTGATTCCATAGGAAAGTGCTTCTTGACCCGCTCTGAAACTTTCTCTTTCAGATCCACACTTGGACCGGGCTCACCATCCCCTTCACTGGAGGACTGGAGAACTGGGGCAGAGGACACATTTTCCAGGAGATCTGTCAGGAAGTCTGCAAGGCCTCCAGAGCCAGCCAGCACCAGCCAAGGCTTTGAGTTCTTCAGAGAAAGATCCACTCTCTGGCATTAAGCAGAAGATTCATAATTTATCAGTAAAGCAAACATAAAAAATAGCCTGGTTTCTACAATGTTTGATAATCACAAAAAGCAGTAACTCTACCTCTAAAAGGCTTGCGTCTCCTGATATCAACATGCAAAGAACAGGGATGTCAATTGTGCCACTACCTGTTGGGAAAAAGAAAAAAATAATTAGACAAGCACTCCGAGTGTGGATCTCCGCTGAGCAGCAAATTTTGCCCCAAATTGTGACCGACACCTATAGCTAAAACTCGCACATGATCTCAGGTACTGATATCTATTCACTGTATTGCTGATAGGCCGAAAACACTGAAGGCACCTGCAGCCATCTAGGTACTCACCATTCTTACAGAGTTGTGCCCTAAAAATGCCTACGTGTGTGTCCTTTGGCAGCAAAAACAAGAAGTTTCCTGGCTCTGCAAATATGTTTCTCAAGTAATTTTATAGTAAGTGGATGCAATGCACAGACACAGTATAAAATTATATGGCGTCATGCATGTACAATTTGCAAATTTAAAAATACTATAGCATTAACATACATGTACTTGTAATTCAGTCTTGATGTAAAATCTTGGAATTATATGTAATAGATAATTACCATAACAATGTAATCAATACATGTATATTACATGTACATCATCAATTTAGCACATCACATAATGTGTGCTTGTGTAATATTCTTATTATCTGACTACAGTATTATTATACTCCATTAACACACTGCATTTGTTGTGATGGATTTGTATAATGTGTTATATTACAAGACATAGACTTCATACCGACTATGCAATGTAAGGTGCCTATTTTTTACCATAAATTACGATAATCTACAGATGCTATTTGAAAATATTTCAAAAGTCTTAAGCCCCCCTGAAAATGAGAACTTCATCGTTGTTCGATGCTGTAGTGCACATACTGTTTACATTCTGACCAGTCTAACTGGGGAGTACCAATATAGTATGGTTAAAATGATGGGGGAAAAAAAGCATATAGGCAGTGTTGAAATCAACCAAGGTCACAGGTGCATTTTACAAATGTTAGCTAAAGAGTTAAGACAAGTGGATAGATTATTATACTATTCATATTTTTATTCCATTCCTCCAAGTAATATAAAATACCACACTTCTTACCCCATATTCCTGTGGGCTGGTGGGAGATGTAGTCCTCCAGTTTGGTTCTGAAGATCATGTCTCCACCTCTGCGGCCAACACTCCCATCATCCACCAGCAGGAAGGCCTGGTAGTTTTTGTCCAGACTGCAGGAATCCCGAACTGGGTTTTGTACAAAGTACTCTGCAGGAAAGCTGCCCTGCTCAAGGAACAGTTATATTAGATTGGCATTTCAGATAAGAAACATGCAAACTAGATATTTGGGTAAATAAATGTACATTTCTGTATTTAATCTACAGTGAACTTGAGACACCTTAGTTAGAATACCAAGTTTCTGCAAAGTACAAAAAAATAAGGTGCAGATAAATCCTTTTTCACTTTTAATGAAACCCATATGTGTGACAAACAAAAAAATAAACTACAATAATGGGTTTACATTTCTATAAATCCAATCCTAAAACAGAATTTCTATTGAATCACCTTTTGATTATAATACAGCCGGCCTTTAAGTATATCTGCCTACTTGTAAAATTTAGACTCAGGTCTCAGGTCCATCCTTCTAGCAGAAGCCTGGAAGTTCTGTGAATAGCAATGACTGATACCATACTTGGAACTACTTTGACTAAGGGTTCAATTTCTGGCTGAAAGCTCCAAAGTATACCACCACACCTTGATGTCACTGCTACTTATTTTCCATGTTGTAATATGTTGGAGCAATAGCTTATCTACAGCTGAGAGGAACCAGTAAGATAACCTCATCAGGAAGGCAAGCTCTGTCAGTTGATGTCCCCTTAATCTGCCCCAGGTAGTGTGAGATAGATGGACTCTGGCTAAAATATCACTGCTGGACAAAGTCAGCTCTCTAGTTCAGCAACAGCTTCATGAATGGGGTGGAAGACTAAGCGACAGACTGCTGCATCTTAAATGTGTTATCACAGATCCTTCCTTCCAGTAGCTCTAACACTTTATAACCATCTCTGCTCCAAACAAGCTCAATAAACCTTTACATACGTGCTCCTATTAGGACTGTTTTTCACTCAAATAAAATCTCTTGCAGTTGCTGCTATAATTTTCACTTATTTGAAAAAAAATGTTTTAAATTAACCTTTACCATTTAGTATACGTTAACTGCACAGTATTCAACTCAGCAATTTTTTCCCCTAGCTGTACAGCAATGTTTTCTTCCTGCTTTTGTTTATTCACCTTTAAAGTTTATTTTGTGTGAATCTTATTTTAAATGCCTTTGAGTTTGATGCTTTTGCACTGAAATATCTCCATTGCGAGACAAAGGAATTTTCTGTTTTGTTTTATTATGATGCTGTGTAGACTATGTGCAGCTCAAATAGTTCAACCTTGGTGTCTTTGCACTGTAACATTATTTTCAAACTGCATGGTTTTTGATCAGTCTAACCATGCATGTATGGGTTTTTTTAGTAAAACCAAAAAAAAAAAAAAAAAAAAAAAAAAAAACACAACTACATCACAACTACATCATTTTCAAATCTCACAGGCAATTAATTTTGGTCACATTACATTTTACAAGAGTAATTCAATTTAAAAATAAGACACTTCCTTTCTTACTCCAGCCCTTAGATGGCGGTGTTGTCAGGAGTTTAGATACCTTTTTATTAATCTAAATATGGTGGTTTATTCTGAAAATAGAAGCAGCCCCATTTAAGAGAGTTTGTACCTTTACACAGCCACATGGTTGAAAAGTTTTAATAAAGTTTAACAAAGTTCACATGTCATTTATCTCTGTTATTTTCCTTATTGGGACAAATTGCTTTTTAAATGGGTTTGCAGATTTATTACATCTGCTTTATTAGTAAAGATCTCACCCTCTTGAGGAATATTGAAAAAATTGCGAGAAAATGAAAACATTAAAATCTGAAAACAATCACCTGAGGGTTTACGAGTTTCTCTCGTTGGTGTACTAAGCCCCATGGAGCGATGCCTACAGCCAACACCTTGTTGAGGGAGTCTGATGAGGCTGCGGTAGCGTGATCTCGAACTGCCTCACCAACACACTTGCCAACGCCTTCACGTAGGCCTGTTGTCAGGATCCACGCCCCTGGACAGAGAGAATTCAACAGTCATTTACCGAACTCATTATGGGTTCAATATAATTCAAACTGATTTTAGAGGTGCGTGAATTAAACTCGTCCTACTGATTTCTATTTATTCCCTGTATTGCTGATTGGCCGTTGGTAGTACATGGTACAGTACTGTGAGGTCACAAGCCATCATAATGGTACTTAGTTAGACTAATCAGAGTGTAACCAATACATGCGCTACAACATTGAACAACGATGATATTCTCATTTTCAGGGAGGTTTAAGACTTTTAAAATAAAGATAAAGTCATCGCTTTGACACTCACTTGATGTTTCATAGCATTAGTAGATTACTGTCATTTAAGGTAAAAAATAGGCACATCAGAATGCGTATTGAGTACAAATTCTAGAAATCATGTAATATAACATATACAAATCCATCATAACTAAATTAGTGTCTTAATGGAGCATAATGCTGTACTTGGATATTAATATTACACATGCATAGACGCTCTAGTTGATGATGTGCCAAAAGTGCTTAATTGATGATGTACATGTAATACATGCATTTATTACATTGTTATGGTAATTACATTACAGACATTTTTATGGCGTGACTCGATGAAAGTTTGGAGTACCAAGATGGCGGCAGGTGACTTAAGTTTTATCTGTCTATGAGCAATCCAGTGAATAAATAGGGATCAGGGAGTTGTCCACCATAAAGAGTGTGTTAGGACTCTAAAGCTTCCAGTGTCCCTGGAAGCTGAAAAACCTGACTGGTATGTCAGGAATTTTGCAAATGTCTGATTTCTAAATATTCATTAGATCTAGGCGTTTGGTGCAGGCCTCCATGCAACGGTTATAGGAAAGTCAGATTGTGGTTGTAGAATGTCAATGTTTGAGGTTTGCATTAGGTCCAACCCCTCTTCCTCTCAGCTCAAAGATTAAGTTTAGCTTTTCTAAGATATTCAAATTCTTATTCTTAGATGTCACTGACCATTGTAGGTGAGAGTTTAAAATTATGAGACTACGATTAGTTTTATAAGTCATGTCTATTTGTTCAACTGCTTTTAGCTATGCTTGACCCTTAAGCCCTGTGATTATTTGAATGTGGGGGTGTGAGGAGTCTCTCACCCTGCTTCTATAAATGTCTCAGGAACAAGATCCCTCTGGAATCTGTAGTCTGCTCTGTCATGGTAAACCTGTCTTTCCCTATTTTGCAGAATAATTGAAAGGTTTTTGCTTTTTTCTACTTTGCTTAAACAACCGTCTGCTGCGTTCCTTGGTCTTCATGATATATTAAGCTTATTAATGTACACCTCAGAGGCACAACAGCTTGATTCTAAAAATTAGATCATTATTTCAGCTGGATTTATTGAATATTTTAGAATTTACAGAGAAAAAAATACAGTGAGCCTTCATGATGCATTCACCTGCTCTTTGTGAAGCTTTCACGAGTCCCTGTCTGATGACTTCCCTCACCCAGGTCTTCACCTTTGTTCTGCCCTCTCCCCCCACAACAGAAACCACCAGGTTTGGTTTGGAGAGTTTCCAGTGATTCGTCATCAAGCTGTAGACGACAAGCGGCTTGGTGTCCCATGACAGGCGGACAAACTAGGTTCATTAAAAAAGAGATCGAAGCAAATGCAGTTAATTTAAGTTAACAAACACAAATCTTATTGTATCTTAGGGGGAAAAAAATCTGAAATAATCTTTTATGCATTTATAACCATCATATTTCTGCTGACATACTAATATCTGTAATACCTTAAGGTGGATCCATATCATCACTAAATTTTAATAATCTGTTGCCTAAATAAAAGCCACTGAGAAAAGAAAAAAAAAGGGTCTCTTGTCTTCCAAAAAGCATCTTCATAAATATAAACATGTTTAAGAATAAACTGCAAAGACTGACAAAAAAAAATTAAGTTAGAACCTTTGGAAAAGGTATTCTCCCTTTACTATTTCTATAATCACTTCCAGCCCTGACTACCACCTCCAGGATTACACAGAGATGGTGGTATGATGGTTTGGTGCAATCCTGCAACCAGGTATTCTGCTCTTTAACAGAAAATCTTGGTTGAAAAAGGTTTGACCATCATTTTATAACCTAAAGCTTGAGTTGTAGAATTATCTAAAATACTAAAAATGAACTCTTAAATAATCAAGCCATCTGAGCTGCCCTAAAATAATAGCTCAATTAAAGAGGTAGTAGTGATCCCCCCAAGGAAAAAAAAAAAAAAAAAGGACTTAATTAGTAGTCATCGTAAAGATGGGGGGAGAATTAGTCCTGCAGAAGCTGGCATAAGTTATGAGCTTTAGGGGCACCGACTCTTTCATGAGACAATTTTATATTGGGAGGATTACCTGACTGAATAAAATCATTAATCAGAAGATTTCCTTTGTATTACCTCAGGTCATTATTGCTCTTTATTACTTATTATTGCTTTTATCATGTAAAACATTTACATACAACCTGGGGTGCTGAATTTCCTCATCTGATATCAAGCATTGTTTGCCAACGTGTGACCAGAGGTCAGAGGGCAGGATTTTCAAATTTGCTGACAAGCACAGTAAACTCTCTTGAAAACAAAGAACTTTATTGACTTGCTCAGATAAGCTGTATCAAACCAACAGAAAGTCACCTACATAGCTGTGTCTCTTGCTGGCTCCTCCAAATTTCACTTCTCCAAAAGCATCGGTTGGATATTCAGACGAGTGTTGGGCGCTGTCCCAGTGGTTCACAATGGCTGTGCTGAAATAGTCGCCGAGAGCCACGGAGGAGTGGGCTTCTCTCGCTCCCCCACACTGACATAGTGCTTCATTACTGACAGAGAGAGAAAGAGGAGATAACATGCATGACCATCTGATCACCACCCTGCATTTAAAAATTAGCATACAGCAGATTTACCTGGAAGAATCCTCCACAAAGGTGGTGCAGACTCTTTTCTTGATGATCTTTTTGATCCAAGTCTGTAGAGATTTTCAAGAGTTAGATAAGCTGAAGTTATACATTCCCTGCGTCCAGTTTAAATACATTTCTTACCCTTTTATGCATGTTGCTTTCATGTTGCTAAAAAATGCTGCTGAGCGAAATGGCTGCCTCAAGTTCTGACAAGTTTACAGAGATGAGCTGCAGAGGTATGCTCAACCCAAACACCTGAATGTGAATTATAACATAGTGCTGCTGATTCCGCACATGTTTATGGGTAACTACCGGTGCACTGCTGACATTAATCTATTGAACAAACCAGCAACATGCATCCCAAAACCTGATTTCCTAACATATTTCATCAAAAGGAACATATATTTGTTTTGGTGTTTTTTTTTAGATCCAATTTATTTTGGCTATTTTTTATTTTATTTTTTTAAGATAAAAGCCATTCATAAACTGCAACCATTTTTTGGAGATGAAATATCTCCTTCCATTTTGAAAGATTTAAAGAAACCCATATTTTAAACAAAACCAAATCAGTGTCTCCATTAAGCATCTCAGTACAGAGTAGATGATGTGATTAAATCTTCCAGACAGATTGCTGCTGGACCTGATGGACCACAGTAAACCAACGCCAGCAGATGATTTGGCTTTTCTTCAAATTCTCTGGCTGATTCCGGGGATACTCATACCCCTAATGGCCCGCGAATGCATTGCAAGAGGTACATAAATATATTTTTTTGATATGTAGCTAAATTAAATAAGGCAGGGATCTGTTTTTTATTTTCTGGTGACCAAAAAGCTTTTAACAACCAAAAAGTAAGTTTTTCTTATATGTTTGAGTTCACCTGGGGCTGTGACACACATCAAAACCAAACAGAGGAACAGACTGGATGAAGAGAACAGCCTGGGATCAGCTCTTTTCACACTGATCTATTGGAGCTCATCAAAGCAGCTCAGGTGTCGTGATGAAAAAGTAAAACTGATTAGGTCAGTCCGACTATAATTTTTGTTCCGTAGTTTGTTCTCAAATAAACAAGTGATAAGAGTGTTACTCAGAGGCACTCCAGTTTTTTAAAATACAGTTTCATAATATTTAATTTTGTAAATATTTTTATTCCTAACCAACTTTCAGGCAACATATTTATGTTGTTTTTTATTTGAGATGGGAAGAATAAAATGCCTAAGAATTAAACACTCAAATTAAAATATTAAGTAAAATAGTTTTACCTTATAAATCAGCTATTGTACGTTCCACTTTGCGACAATCAATACTTTTGACTGTGAGGTACTCACGGTAAGATAAAATTAACAAAGTGGTACAGTCAAAAAGGTTTGGGAAACCCTGCTCTAAAGGCTGAAGTTAGCCATGCTCCATTACACCCATGTTCTACCCCACTTTATTCTTCCACTAAACTTTCTTTAATATGCTCTACCTTATTGGTATGCATTCATTTTTGCCAAAAGTTAATCTCTTATAGTTTCCTTTTCAGTCGGAGTTGCTAATGTCAGCAGGTCCTAGTGTCATGCAAACTTTGCAAGTATCCCTGCTTCAGGGTTCAGATTTATCAAGTTTTGTGGGGGAAAAAAAAATATTCACATACACCTGGTGTGAGACTAAATTACTTTACTATTACTTTTAAACAAGCCCCATTCGCCAGAGATCAAACATTAACACTTTAATCTGCAGATCAGCATTTGTACTTATACCAAAGACAAAGGAGCAAACAAACAAAACCGGATCCCTTTCCACACAAACTTGCCAGACTCTGTAGGTATGTATCCAACAATCCAGAACATGTTTCTGACATGAGCTGACATGCTTAACATGTTGGGTCTGCTCCATTTAGTCCCTTCACAGGACATGGCTCATCTCTCACATAAGAAGCCTGTTAAAACTGACGCCGATTAAACAATGTGGCCCAGCTTTTATAGAAAATACAGTAACTGCGTTTCTACACAGCATTTTATGGTCAGAGCGTCAGACTCATGGTGTGTTTAGGTACAACTCGTCTATACATAAAAGATCATATAAAATGTGTCCCGTATTGTGAACAGTTGTTTAGAGAATATATATATATATTTTTTCATTTTCATATTCAGGAGATCAAATTCTGTAAATGAAATAAAATTCTGATAATCAGAAATTTTTGGCACCATCATGATTGGACGGTGGAGCTCTGTCCCCTAGTAGTTAGGGGATAGAGCTTGGAGTCCTGAGGTTCTGAGTTCCAGCCCCACTCCCACAGATTGCCACTCTGGGTCTCTGAGCAAGACCCTTAACCCACACTGCTACCTGGGCGCCGTATGATGGCAGCCCCTTGCTCCCAAAGGGGATGGGTTACATGCAGAGTTAAATTTCTCCAACGGTAGATCAATAAAGTAAAATTAGTTATTATTATTGTAAGCCAACAAGAGCACACAATTGAAATTTAGGAGTAAGTATTTTCTAAAATTATTGGGAGTAAAAAAAAAAAAAATGCCACATGTAGCAGCTCAGATGCTGGATTTTTTTTGTCCTCAGAAAGGTTAAACACCCCCTGAAGTCAGACTTCAGCAAATAGCAAAAGGTCCTCAGATGCAGAATTGGTATGGTTGCAGTGCATAATGTGACGTTTGCAAGAGTATAGAATGTATTTAGACTTTTGCTAGGTTGTAATTTTAAATTACACACCATGCAAAGAATGAGGAGAAATATATGGCTGTTGGCCTTTACTGCCAATTTAGTTAGCCTCATGATTTTTGGACAACAATAAGCATATTATGCGAGTTTTCTAACTTGCAACTAGGAATCGCTAAACTTTTATGTGATTCCACTCCCAGGTCATATTTCCATCACATGTATAAAAAGTTGCTGTGCCCAACAAAAGAATGGCTCTGAATCTGTGGTCTAATTTAATAACTCCTCTTTAAGTTAAAGCAAAAAAAAAGTGCTAAACAGTAAAAAGAAGCAGGTTAATGTTTGTTTAGACCAGAGTTTTTTTTTTAACTCTGGTTCTCAAGGCATACTGCTCAGCATCTTCCAAATCTATGTGCCTAATATCCCTGATAAACATGAATGCAGATGTAAATCAGCCATTAGTTGAAAACAAAGATGTGCTTAACCATCTAAAGTATGAAGGGTCTTAGGTCTTAAAGACCAGGCTGGAAAAACACTGTAAAATACTTTCCTAAGAGTAATTCCTATTTGTACAGTTTTCTTTCGGTTTTGTTGGAAATGGTTTGTTGACCGAGACAAAATGTAACCTCCAACTTGCAAATGCCTCTGGTTACGTCATGCATAACAATGTAACCTGGCCAACCAGACTGACTTCCACAGGGCGTAAACCAGTGCGGCAAATCTCAATACTCTCCCATCTAAAACAGACCGGACAAAACAGCGCAGAAGGAGGGCCCATAATACGACAGCAATTTCTGTCACGATAAGTCAAGATTGCAGCTGCAATGGAGTGATGTTTTATGAATGCCTAAAAAAAATGATCGCATCATTAAATTTCAACAATTGGCTGCTGTAAGAGCAAAATAAACTAAGTTTTTGCATCACACCTGTAGTTATCTGATTGGTTCTAACCTGATGACATTGACCCAGTCCGTCCCACCTTTGAACTCGAGCTCTACCAGCTCTTTACCAGACTGATAGTCTGGCTGGCTAGGCTGAAAAGACAACAATGCTTAAAAGAAGTGTTTTGAGCATTTCCACACGTTTTCTACTTTTGTCTTTATTTGCATAAGGTGGTCCTCTCTTACCCATGACTTTAGTGTATTGGAGCGTTTTTAGTGCTCAGATGAATCCATTGCCCAGGGGTAAATGTAGGGTTTTCCATAAAAAAAAACACACGAAAAAAACCCCAGGCCTGTTCAGGAGCTTTCATGATGACTCATACTATGAGGCAAGATGTCGGCAGGTACAATGGAGTTGAGGCCTAACCCTGAAGGTCTGGGGCAGGGTATCAGCAAGCACCTGGTGCCCAGGCTACTCCTCAGGAGTTGTTCCACATATGTCCCTCCAGGAGGAGGCAAACTACACTCCCATTTCTTGTGTTGGAGCCATGTTTCACGTTACTTACTACCACATTTTTTTTCTAGATTTTTTTTTTTTTTGCGCATTTCTTAATGCCAGACAGCTGCCATTTTAATTGCTCTAAATGGCCTGTACTTATATATTGCTTTTTCAAGTCAGGAGGCCCACTGACAGAAGCAAGGCTGCCGTACACTGGCGCCACTGTTCCCTCTGACCACCATCAGTAGGCAATGCAGGTGAAGTGTCTTGACGTAGGACAGGACGACATTGAAAGCCGGAGCTTTAACCGTTAACCATTCGATTTCAGTGCAAACTCCTATACCCAACGCCACTGTCGCATTTAGTTTTGAGTCATGTCAGATCTTTTTTTCTACAAAATTAAACAACTTAATGAACATCCTCCAAGGCTGACAATTCCATATTTTTTGCCAGGGATGGTGCTAAGAGGGAGGCTCAGGACATGCCGGAAGTACTGCTTCTCTTGGATGGCCTGGGACCGTCTCAGGCTTTCCCCACAGGAGCTTAAGGTGGTATTTTTAGGAGATGAAAACCTGCTAATGAGGGGGGGACTAGTATCATCATGCCTTCTATTGCATTTGTTTTAGCTGATAGTCAGTGCCGCCTCCAGAAATGTTTCATAGGGGTGGCCAGATGGGGCCACTAAAAATCTTGGGGTGGCACACTGAAACTAAAAGCCATAATTTCGGGGTTTGAATCTACTGTTGTGGTAAACGCACCTGTAGAAATAAGCAAGACTCAAGTAAACACCTATTCATATCTTGGTTTATTGTTTGATCTTTAATGTTACGCTGCTGGCTGTGCATAATGGGATCAAATGCTAAGCTGATGCTACAACTTACACTGGCCAAGGCAGGACACAGGGTGGCCGTGGCCACCCCGGTCCTAGCCCGGTAACACCACTGCTGATGGTGTAGATATATTATTGTGATGTATTGTAAAAAACACAATGCTCTGCATTACGTATATAATAATTTATGTTAAAATTTTGCAACAACAGATGCCTTATGTTCAAGCATTAAAGGGTGGCTTTGGTTGATCAAACTGAAGTTTTAATTTAATAGAATCAAACTGTAATAGATCTTAGAAATAATTGAATATTGGTTAGAATTATATTTATGAAGTTTCAAATGAACTGAGGTTGACGGTGTTAAATACAAACATACATTTATCAACTGCAGAGGCATAGCCAGAACATTTTTATAAGGGTGGCCAGGCAATAACCAATGTATACTGAGGTGTGGCCAAATGTGGATTGGTGCCAGAACCTCTGGGTAAATCTACACTGTTCCAACAGGAAAATTAATGAGCACAACATCCATATTTTCTAAATAAAGACAAAATATCCTTTCCTACAGCCCTCGCTAAAAAAAATAAACTCATATTTAAACATCTTCCTAAATAAAAGGTATAGTGGATACAATTGTTTCAGGTTTGAGTTCTGGGGTGAACATCTTTTCCATTGTCATTAGTTACTTTTATCAATAATCATTCTGCAAAAAAAAATAAAAAAATTAAAAGTACTAATATCTACATAAAGTATTTAATACCTTTTTATTAAAATATTTATCTATGATTTCACTGAATACTCTTATGGGTTGCAGAGAGAAATCATTTTCTCTTTACCCCATAGAACACAAAATGTAGATCTGAAAAGAGCTTGAATTCTGTACCCATCTTTAATATCAGTACATTGATGTGCATAATTAACCACAGTGTTTTTGTTGTCAAATCCATGTTAATATATGAAATTTTTAAATGTTTTGAATATTCCACTTGAGAGTATTACTGCTGCCACCATCATTCTGTATTACAGGTGCTGGTCATAAAATTAGAATATCATGAAAAAGTAGATTGATTTCAGTAATTCCATTTAAAAAGTGAAACTTGTATATTATATTCATACATTACATACAAACTCATATATTTCAGATGTTTATTTTGTTTAATTTTGATGATTACAAATGACAACAAATGAAAATCTCAAATTCATCATATCAGAAAATTAGAATATTACTGAAGACCAATAAAAACAAAGGATTTATAGAAATGTTGGCCAACTGAAAAGTATGAACATGAAAAGTATGAGCATGTACAGCACTCAGTATTTAGTTGGGCCTCCTTTGGCCTGTATTACTGCAGCAATGCGGCGTGGCATGGAGTCGATCAGTCTGTGGCACTGCTCAGGTGTTATGATAGCCCAGGTTGCTCTAATAGTGGCTTTTAGCTCTTCTGAATTGTTGGGTCCTGTGTATTGCATCTTCTTCTTCACAATACCCCATAGATTTTCTATGGGGTTAAGGTCAGGAGAGTTTGCTGGCCAATTAAGAACAGGGATACCATGGTCCTTCAACCAGGTACTGGTAGCTTTGGCACTGTGTGCAGGTGCCAAGTCCTGTTGGAAAATGAAATCTGCATCTCCAAAAAGTTGGTCAGCTGCAGGAAGCATGAAGTGCTCTAAAACTTCCTGGTATGTGGCTGCGTTGACCCTGGACCTCAGAAAACACAATGGACCAACACCAGCAGATGACATGGCACCCCAAACCATCACTGACTGTGGAAACTTTACACTGGACTTCAAGCAACGTGGATGAAGTGCCTCTCTTCTTTTCCTCCAGACTCTGGGACCTTGATTTCCAAAGGAAATGCAAAATTTACTTTCATCAGAGAACATGACTTTGGACCACTCACCAGCAGTCCAGTCCTGTTTCTCTTTAGCCCAGGCAAGACGCTTCTGACGCTGTCTGTGGTTCAAGAGTGGCTTGACACAAGGAATGCGACAGCAGAAACCCATGTCTTTCATACGTCTGTGTGTGGTGGTTCTTGAAGCACTCACTCCAGCTGCAGTCCACTCTTTGTGAATCTCCCCCACATTTTTGAATGGGTTTTGTTTCACAATCCTCTCCAGGGTGCGGTTATCTCTCTTGCTTGTACACTTTTTTCGACCACATCTTTTCCTTCCCTTCGCCTCTCTATTAATGTGCTTGGACACTGAGCTCTGTGAACAGCCAGCCTCTTTAGCGATGACCTTTTGTGTCTTGCCCTCCTTGTGCAAGGTGTCGATGGTCGTCTTTTGGACAACTGTCAAGTCAGCAGTCTTCCCCATGATTGTGTAGCCTATAGAACTAGACTGAAATACAATTTAAAGGCTTTTGCAGGTGGTTTGAGTTAATTAGCTGATTAGAGTGTGGCACCAGGGGCCATCAATTTTGAACCTTTTCACAATATTCTAATTTTCTGATATGATGAATTTGAGATTTTCATTTGTTGTCATTTGTAATCATCAAAATTAAACAAAATAAACATCTGAAATATATGAGTTTGTATGTAATGTATGAATATAATATACAAGTTTCACTTTTTAAATGGAATTACTGAAATCAATCTACTTTTTCATGATATTCTAATTTTATGACCAGCACCTGTAGAGGTAAAACATGGTAGAGGTGGTCACCCCTGGCCCCCGATCTAGCCCCGCCCCTGATTAACTGAGGGTAAATAATCCAGTGTACATCTCGTGAATTTAGCGTGCAACCGTAAAACGCTGAATAGAGGCGCCGTGGGATATACCCAAACAACAGCGGTAACTAGTAAAACTAGACTTTGAGGTTGTCAGATGTTATATGTGTTGCTGATCGGTGCTTTAGTTCAGTTGATTAGCAACAGATATTAGTCAGCAGACATTCGATTGTTAGTAGAACACGTTTAGCAAGGTTTGGAAATCACCATGATGTTTGCAGCCCCTGTAAATCCATACCCTGCGCGTGACAATCGATGACAGACAGTAATTAGTCTAAATAAGGTTCAAGTAAGGATAAAGTTGCTGTACTGTCAACAATACATACAGTCGCGCGCGGACACATCCTACTTCTGCCATTTCCACTTCCCTCTGCTGTCATTATGAAGTTTCTTTCATTTTGGGTATTTTACCAACCTGCTGCTTCTCAGGTTTACCGCTTTGGTCCGTTTGTCCTCCAACTTCTGCGTTGGTATCTTTCATTTCCTCTCCCGTTTCCGTCCCTGTCAGTGGGTGTTTTTTTTTAGGGTAGGGGGAGAGAGTTAGGGTCTCTTTCTGCCCATTTTCCTTTGCAGTTCCTGATTGTGCTGTCCGCAGTCAGAGAGGAGAGACCTGCAAAGCAGACGCGCCCAACAGGTGAGGGTGTGGTTTGAAAGGAAGCGGCTGGTCGACTTATACAGTAGGCTTGGCTTGTTGAAACCACAGGTATTTGATACTCACAACGTTGAATGCTGGTAGATATCATAGCTGTTCAAACAGACACATATGATGCACTTAAAGTCTATAACACCTTACAACAGGGATGCTGTAGTTCAGTCCTTAAGAGCTACTATCCTGCAACTTTTTGATGCCCTCCATGTTAAACACACCTGCATATAATGAGTGGCTAATTATACAGGGACGGAGCTAGATGGGGGGCCAGGCCACCCTTAGCTAATCATTGGCCCCACTATTTTTTTCCCTCTAATACAGATGGTGGCAGCAGTAATACTCTCAGTTGAACCACACCCCATACCAGTAAGTGGTGGTAATATTACTAAATTTTTGTTGCCAACTGCCAATAAATCCAAGAAGAAGAAGTTGTTGCCGATTCGTAGTAGGTGCGTTTCTAAGTCGCTTGTGGAGAAATGGCCTGGGCTGTCAGTAGCGAGGAAACAGGAAGCGATTCTTGTTCGATGGAGGAAGTAAATAGTGAAAACGACGAAGATTGGAAGAGGGTAGTGTCAAAAAATGAGAAAAAGCAGAAGGGGGGTCCAGTTCAGAACAGTCCAGCGATGAGCAATGTAGAAATTCCACAGGAAAACAAAATGAGTACAAAGTCATATTCAAACTAGTTAATCAGGGAGACTCTTTTGATTGGAATCCGGTTCAGTTAACAAAATTGATAAATAAACTTGTAGGAGAAGTCTGAAGTGCCAGAATACTCTATAGTAGAGACCTATTAATCAATTGCAGAGACAGCGCTCAGCAAGGCAAAGCTATACGAATTAAAAAGATTGAGGGGAGAAGAGTTCAGTAGGCTTAGTGGAGAACAAAAAGATTAGCAGGGGAGTCATTGGAGGAGTTCCTCTAAAAGTATTTGAAAAAGAGATTCTAGAAAACATAAGTGGTGCAAAAGTAAAAGAAGTGAAACGGTTGAAAACAACAAGAAATAGAGAAAGGTGTGAGAGCGAATCTGCGTTAATTAGAATTGAAGAAGAGCAGTTGCCCAGCAAAGCTTTCATTTGTTACATGAGCTACAATGTCAAAGTGTACAATCCTCTGCTTCTGAGATTTTATAAATGCCAAAAATTCTGACATATAGCAGCAGTATGTAAATGAAAACAACGGTGTGGAAGGTGTGCTCTAGAGCACAAATATGGAAAATGGGGGAAAGAAGTTAAAATCAAATGCTGTAACTGTGGTGGAGAACATACTGCTGCATATTGTGGCTGTGAAGTGAGTAAAAGGTCTGAGGAAATTAGAAAAGTGACATTTTAGCTTGGAATTTCATTTGCTGAAGCTGCAAAAAGGATCCCATCCCAGTCAGAAAAACCCAAACCAACAGTTCAGCAAATGAAAAGTTCAAAACCTCTGGAGCAGCGTCCCAAAATGGCAGAAGATTCATCGATTGTAAAAAAAAAAAGAACGATTTTGTTTTTTTTATGGTAGAGGTAATCAATTGTAGTGCTCAGACGACAAGAAAAAACGAAAAAACCAAAATAATAGTGAAAGCTGCAGAAAAGTATCTCGAAGTTAGAGATTTAAACTGGGAAATGGTGAAAAACATGATGGGAAAACAAATAGGACCATCAGAAACCAGCAGAGTGATGATGACTTAAAGATAAATTAGAAATTATGAGGACAAATTTGATGAAGTATTTATTATGTTGGGTTAAGTTAAACAGTTTCGAAAAATATTATTATTATTTTATTATTATTTATTTAGTTAAATGGGGTAAAGAGAAAATCATGTGTCTCTCTAGGAGTCTGCAGTGAAATCAAAGATAAATAATAATTTAAATAAAAACTTATCAAATAATCAATTTATTTAGATATTAATGCATGTAAATATACATTTTATGCAGAAAGTTTATTGATAAGTAGGTAAGTAATGGCAATGGAAAAGATTGATGCCCCAGAACACAAAACTGAAAGAGTTTTATCCACTATACCTTTTATCTATAAATTACAGATGTTTAAATATATGCGTCTCCTTGTTAGCAAAGGCTGTTGGAAAGTATAGTTTGTCTTTATTTATAAAATATGGATGTTTTGCTCGTTAATTTCCGTTTGGAACAGTGTAGATTGACCCTGAGGTTCTGGTGCCTATCCGCTTCTGGTCACCCCTCAGTGTTCATTGGTTATTGCCTGGGCACACTTATAAAAAAATTCTGGCTACTCCTCTGTGGTTACCATGCCTCTGCTGAGCTAAATTAGGGAGATTCAGGTGTGTTGGAGAAGAGATGCATCTTAAATTTACAGATTGGAAGCTCTTGAAGACTGGATTTGAGCACTCCCTACAGTCACCATGCTTGTCTGTCTGTCTAAAATGTCTCCTAATATTTTATGTTTGTAAAAAACAACCTACACAGTAATGGGCTTGACTCTCCCCTAAAGGAAAATTTCACCATGATGTCCCCAGTTTAAAACCCTTAAATGAGATGCTGCAGGAATTGCAGGAGTTACCATAGTGCGACAATGATGCACCACAAGCATCTGCTGTGCAATGCTGTCCAGCCAGTTGGCAAAAAGATTCCTAAAGTTTTCCCTCCCTAACAAATGACACAATTTTCTGTTTTGGAAACAGTTGTGGTCATGAAAAACACATGCAATTACTGCACCAATCACTGCTGTTTAACATGTATGAGGATAAAGAGGCTGGTTTCCAGTTTATCTCAAAGCTCAACCCCACCCCCCAAAAAATTGTTTTTTATACATTTGTTGATCGAAAAAAAAGGTTAATCAGTGAAGTATCATGGCACATTGATTATTGAATACTAATACTAATATATACAGAAGATCAAATTAGAATCTGTTCACTTCACTTTAAATCTATATATGATGAAACTACATGTATATTTTTTGTTATATGAATTGGAACTGCTTGTTTTCTGGTGTATCTTCAGGAGACGCTTGTTTTGAATTGCATGGAGATGGACAGTTACTGTACAGAGTGAACTCCGTTTAGCCACCTCCAAGAATAAACGTTCCCTCAGAGGCTGAGTTGAAGGACACTGTACAATCCCTCTCTTTGGAAACTTGGACCACTGCCCTGACCTGCATGTCCACTGGGGTTGTCCCATCCTCAGTGTTACTCTGAAGAGCCATGTCAGCTGGGACATCCCATAGAGACTCCAGAAGTTTCAACATCTAGGAAGCTATGTGACAGCCCTTGTTTGTTAACATATGGTCTAATAGTATTAGTTTGTTGTTTAAGATGAAAGAACATATAGATAAATATAAATCATTTTAGCCCATCTTTTATTTAATTTTAAGAATTGTCTCTAAAACTTTGAAAAAACAAAAAGAGCAGAGTATTTATCCAAAATTGTACAAAAAAATCAGAAGATCTAATAGTACCCCATCTAAAAACTATCACTCTAGAATCCATTCATTTGAAAAAAACTGGAAACACAATCTACAAATATGTTAAACCAAATATATTTCAAATAGAGGCATACACTTTCATTATTAAATATATACCAGTTTTTTTGTTTGTTTTGTTGAGGTTTTTTTTTTTTGTATTTTAGTCAATAAAGTAAAGGTTTAGGGTCTTAAGGCCAAGAATAAGTCTGATTTGCTGCAGTTTATACAAGCTGATAGATATATAAAGCTCAAAAGTTCTTTGTTTTTTCTCCTGATCCTTATTAAAAAGGAAGTTTAACAAAAACAAGATTGACTAGCAGAGGTGGATGAGGCATCAGTTTAAAAAACAAAACAGTAAAAATGAAGTAAAATGAATCAGCTTTACTTGACAAGCTTAAACAAACAAAGAATTAAATTTTGGTTCCGTTTGGCTCACACAGAAGATATTTCACATTTAAATATATGAATAAAATGGGGTAAATTCTGTTTGAATTCTAAATATGTATAGTCATTTCAATACGCACAGTTCAATTAGATTAAATATGCATGAACTGATCTTGGTACCCTGACTATTCATGAGTGAGACATCCTGGGGAAAGCAGCTGTCTCTGTGGCAGCTAGTTTTTGGAAAACACTGACTGTAGCCTGAACCTGAAACTTAAGTCCTAAACAGTTTTTTAGGATGTGAGGTCTGCAGAGACTTTCGAGGACAGGTTCTGAGAGAGATCAGTTAGAACCTCTGTCAGGCTTTCTGGGCCAGCCACCTCCAATAAGGATCCACAAAAATCAGAACGTTTTTGATATGAGGTAAACTGCAGATTTTTAGTGGCGATCGTTAAAAGGAGTTACATTACATTTAGCATGCAAGTATCTCATCTGAATGCAAAAAGCATGGGTGGCAATCGTGCCTCCAATTGCCAAAAACAATGTTCTATGGAGGATGTAGGAAGTCTAAGGTAGGATGTGCATTTGAACATGACCACCACAAGGGGGCATAACAGGACAAATAAAAGATTGAGATAACCATTAACAGTAAGGAGAAATTAGTTCACTATCTCTAACCCTGAATGTTTGTGTGCTGATGGTTCTCCAGCTTGGTTCCCATCTGTGGAACACTCATTCTAATTCAATTTTAGGCCTTTTTACCTTTTATAACTTTTTTTTTTTTTGTCAAAATGTATTTTTCTTCAATAGTTTCCAGGTTATGTGACCCACTCACTCAAAGTTATAGCATTTAATTCCATTATACAAGACTGATTTATGAAAGATGGAGATAAAAGCTCTGAGAACTATACAGTAAAGTGATTTTTTAATATTCAATAAAATTTGTCCTAAAAAGTCAACGGTTGCCAACATTCAAATATTTCGATTACATTTCTAATAGTGATTTCTTATTGCCAAAAAGGTATAAAATTGATAGTAATGTGTGGACAAGTAATTTTATAATATTTTGCCCAAATTTAAACAATTTATTAATGAAAATGTATGTTTTAGATACATTTTTAAACCTGTTTTATTTCAAAGAAAGGCCTTGCAGCTTATGGGTATGTATAGCGAGTCAACTTTCAATGAATTAGG